GCCCGTGCCTGTTCCCCGCACCAGGTCGGGAGTGCGCTTCGACGGCCCGGCTCGGCCCGCTCCTGCTCCCCACACCAAGCCAGTGGGTGGCGTCGTCAGTCCGGCACGGCCCGTGCCTGTTCCACCGGTGGCTGGTCCGGCACCGGTCAGAGGCTTCACGTCGGAGCTAGAGCAATCCGCTCCACCAGTGTTCAGTCCAGCTCCGGCCAGCAGGGCCAGACCGGACCAGGGGTAATTTGGGGGGTTCGAGAAGGAGTGGGGGTCAAGCCCGGAGCCGGAGCCGCCGCCGAGGAGGAATGCCCACCCAGCCCTCCCCTGTTTTTGCTCTTATTTAGGCGCGGTCGCAGTCCGCGCCTTTAGGGGGGGGGGTACTGTCACACCCTGGCTCGGGGACTCATTATGTTGAGCCAGGGTGTGTTCATTCTATGTTTTCCGTTTCTTTGGTGGGTGTTCTAGGTTGTCTATTTTCTATGTTTGCCGGTGTGACTCCCAATCAGAGGCAACGAGTGTCAGCTGTCGGCTGGTTGTCTCTGATTGGGAGCCATATTTAATCTGTCTGTTTTTCTTTCGGGTTGTGGGATTTTGTTCGTGTGTGTTCGTGTTGTACCATAGACGTCACGCATTCGTTGTTTATTGTTTTGTTCGTGTGAGCATTTAATAAATAGAATATGTTCACTCGCAACGCTGCGCCTTGGTCTCCCTCATTAGACGAGCGTGACACTCGTTACCTGTATAAAAGACACCTGGGAGCCAGAAATCTTTCTGATTGAGAGGGGGTCAAATACTTATTTCCCTCATTAAAATGCAAATCAATTTATAACATTTTTGACATGCGTCTTTCTGGATTGTATTATTGTTATTCTGTCTCTCACTGTTCAAATAAACCTACCATTAAAATTATAGACTGATCATTTCTTTGTCAGTGGGCAAACATACAAAATCAGCAGGGGATCAAATACTTTTTTCCCTCACTGTGTGTATATATATATATTTATTTATTTATTTATGTATTTACACTACCGTTCAAAAGTTTGCAGGTCACTTAGAAATGTCCTTGTTTTCGAAAGAAAAGCAATTTTCTGTCCATTAAAATAACATCAAATTGATCAGAAAGACAGTGTTGTAAATGGCTATTGTAGCTGGAAACGGCAGATTTTTAATGGAATATCTACATAGGCATACATAGGCCGATTATCAGCAACCATCAGTCCTGTGTTCCAATGGCACTTTTTGTTTGCTAATCCAAGTTTATCATTTTAAAAGGCTAATTGATCATTAGAAAACCCTTTTGCAATTATGTTAGCACAGCTGAAAACTGTTGTGCTGATTAAAGAAGCAATACAACTGGCCTTATTGAGACTAGTTGAGTATCTGGAGCATCAGCAATTGTGGGTTCGATTACAGGCTCAAAATGGCCAGAAACAAATAACTTTCTTCTGAAACTCGTCAGTCTATTCTTGTTCTGAGAAATGAAGGCTATTCCATGCGAGAAATTGCCAAGAAACTGAGATCTAGTATGGAATAGCCTTCATTTTCTAATGATCAATTAGCCTTTTAAAATGATAAACTTGGATTAGCAAACACAACGTGCCATTGGAACACAGGACTGATGGTTGCTGATAATGGGCCTCTGTACGCCTATGTACAGTGGGGGAAAAAAGTATTTAGTCAGCCACCAATTGTGCAAGTTCTCCCACTTAAAAAGATGAGAGAGGCCTGTAATTTTCATCATAGGTACACGTCAACTAGGACAGACAAATTGAGGAGAAAAAAATCCAGAAAATCACATTGTAGGATTTTTTATGAATTTATTTGCAAATTATGGTGGAAAATAAGTATTTGGTCACCTACAAACAAGCAAGATTTCTGGCTCTCACAGACCTGTAACTTCTTCTTTAAGAGGCTCCTCTGTCCTCCACTCGTTACCTGTATTAATGGCACCTGTTTGAACTTGTTATCAGTATAAAAGACACCTGTCCACAACCTCAAACAGTCACACTCCAAACTCCACTATGGCCAAGACCAAAGAGCTGTCAAAGGACACCAGAAACAAAATTGTAGACCTGCACCAGGCTGGGAAGACTGAATCTGCAATAGGTAAGCAGCTTGGTTTGAAGAAATCAACTGTGGGAGCAATTATTAGGAAATGGAAGACATACAAGACCACTGATAATCTCCCTCGATCTGGGGCTCCACGCAAGATCTCACCCCAAGGGGTCAAAATGATCACAAGAACGGTGAGCAAAAATCCCAGAACCACATGGGGGGACCTAGTGAATGACCTGCAGAGAGCTGGGACCAAAGTAACAAAGCCTACCATCAGTAACACATTACGCCGCCAGGGACTCAAATCCTGCAGTGCCAGACGTGTCCCCCTGCTTAAGCCAGTACATGTCCAGGCCCGTCTGAAGTTTGCTAGAGTGCATTTGGATGATCCATAAGAGGATTGGGAGAATGTCATATGGTCAGATGAAACCAAAATATAACTTTTTGGTAAAAACTCAACTCGTCGTGTTTGGAGGACAAAGAATGCTGAGTTGCATCCAAAGAACGCCATACCTACTGTGAAGCATGGGGGTGGAAACATCATGCTTTGGGGCTGTTTTTCTGCAAAGGGACCAGGACGACTGATCCGTGTAAAGGAAAGAATGAATGGGGCCATGTATCGTGAGATTTTGAGTGAAAACCTCCTTCCATCAGCAAGGGCATTGAAGATAAAACGTTGCTGGGTCTTTCAGCATGACAATGATCCCAAACACTCCGCCCGGGCAACGAAGGAGTGGCTTCGTAAGAAGCATTTCAAGGTCCTGGAGTGGCCTAGCCAGTCTCCAGATCTCAACCCCATAGAAAATCTTTGGAGGGAGTTGAAAGTCCGTGTTGCCCAGCGACAGCCCCAAAACATCACTGCTCTAGAGGAGATCTGCATGGAGGAATGGTGTCAGAAGAACCGACGTGGATGTGGTGGAGGAGTCAGGCGCAGGACACAGAGGCTTCGTCCAACAGACTTTAATAGTCCAAAGTGCAAAAGAACAATACACGACCTCGAACAAAAACAGAGGCGAGGGAATTACGCAAACATGCGTAAACACTAAACAAAAACAAAAACAGAGCGCAAACACGCAGCTCCGTAAGATAGGCATACAACAACACACAATCTAACCAATACAAAACAGTGAACTTATAGGACACGTAATCAGAACACAAACAGACACAGGTGTACAAGACAGACCAAAGTAATCACACCACGAAACATTCAACGGAGGCAGCTAGTACTCCGGGGACGACGAACGCCGAAGCCTGCCCGAACCAGGAGGAGGAGCAGTCTCGGCCGAAACCGTGACAAATGGGCCAAAATACCAGCAACAGTGTGTGAAAACCTTGTGAAGACTTACAGAAAACGTTTGACCTTTGTCATTGCCAACAAAGGGTATATAACAAAGTATTGAGAAACTTTTGTTATTGACCAAATACTTATTTTCCACCATAATTTGCAAATAAATTCATAGAAAATCCTACAATGTGATTTTCTGGATATTTTTTTCTCATTTTGTCTGTCATAGTTGACGTGTACCTATGATGAAAATTACAGGCCTCTCTCATCTTTTTAAGTGGGAGAACTTGCACAATTGGTGGCTGTCTAAATACTTTTTCCCCCCACTGTAGATATTCCATAAAAAATCAGCAGATTCCAGCTACAATAGGCATTTACAACATTAACAAGGTCTTCACTGTATTTCTGATCAATTTGATATTATTTTAATGGACTTTTTTCTTCTTCTAAGTGACCCAAAACTTTTCAACGGAAGTGTATATTCCAGACTATTTGGGGGATTTGTGTGTATTGTTATGTATTACTGCATCTTTGGAGCAAGACACATAAGCATTTTGCTGTACGCGACCAATAACTTGCTCTTTTATTTTATTTATTTACATGTTGGTTTCTTATGGACAAAGAGAGACTGCAATCCATCCGATGGTTTGCCACTGCCACCTACAGTTAATATTAGCATTTTCTAACCAAAAACAAATTTAATTCAATGTCCCCCAGTTAGCATACTCTGAATTTCATGTACAAATAATCTCAAAGTAACAGTTGTTTATTTAAATAGGGATATGTACAATTAGAACTATGACAAATTCATAAAGAGTCTGATATATTTGATGCACCATCATCATTATCCTATGAATGTGAAGTACAGTACATTCTCATAGGCCTATAAGCAAGCTGAAAAAAATTACAATGTTACAAGTCATCTCTCATAGATTTGTTGTGACATTATCCAGTGTTAGAAATATAATATTCTCTGTTATCATGAAGTTGCACAAACTCCATGTGAGATTGCATAATTTTTGCCAACAATAATGTAGTTCCTCTCAAACCCAAAGCCACTTTGAGGAGAGATGAGAGAGCATGACTGGCGTTCATTTTCAAGTAAATCAAGTAAACTGAATAAATCAGTCCCTCGAGGATTCTGCGATCAACAATTTCCTGCATATTATGCGAGGTTTTGCAAATTTGACCAATCACTGCACTATTTCCTAATAAAGAGTCAAATCATCACAATATTATCGCATCAAACTGACCCATCACCGCAGTACAACAAGAGGCGTCGCAATTTCAACCAATAAACGCACATTTACCGTATAATATGGTTCAATCAAGCCACACTTAAACTAACTTTTCCCCTCGTCAGCGCATCTTCGCAACAAATGGGACAAAATCATTGCATATTGCCATGCTAAATGTCAGAATTGCCGCAGCAAATCAAGGATTTCTGCCCGAAAATATTACAAATAATCCCTGCAAAATCCTGGAGGGACTGATACATAGGGGATTTAACATTTTTAGTCATGCTCCCGGATATATCAAGTTAGAATTCATCCCTGTGTCTTTAGCTAACTGCACCCTCAAAGTCAATATGAGTGCTTAGTGGTAGAAACAACTCCCTACATCTCTCCCCTCTCTGACCCCCCCCCTGTGGTCTAATGGTTTGCTCCAGGACAAGGACTTTGGCAAGCAGACTCTGCACAAGGGCCACGCCAACCCGCTGGCGGAGGTGACCACCAGCCTAAAGACATACCAGCACTTCACCCTGGAGAAGGCCTACCTGGGAGAGGACTTCTTCTGGGCCTTCACCCCCGTGGCTGGAGACTTCATCCGAATCCGTTTCTTCACACCTGTCCGCATCGAGAGGTGTGTGTGTGTGTGTGCTCACATGCTTGGATACACACATACATGGCATGCTTGAATACACACACATACATGGACACACCCACACGTGTGAATGCATGGGCATAAACACATACACACACGCACACACACACACACACACACAGGATTCTGTGCACATACACACACTTCACACATGTCCCAGACTGTCTCTCTCTCTCTCTCTCCACTAGGCCCATATGAATAATATTTATTCCCATTACTGTCAGGGCAGATGGTCTGTCTACTCTGGACCCCTCTAATTGCTATGGCTCTGTGGTCACCCTTGTTGCCTCAGAGAAGCTTTTGGGGGTTGCGGATGGTTCAGGCTGCTGTTAAGTACTTGGATGCACATGCATTTATAGAAAGCAAATGTAGAGTTTGATCTTGGTGACTTGCTGGCTGGCTGACTGATGATGATAATGATGGTGGATCAATTTGTGTTGAATATCAAATTGACATCCCCCCATTTGTTGTCATCTCTTTCTCTCTCACTTTTTCTCTATAGGTATTTTTTCAGGAGCGGGAACATTGAGCACCCAGGGGACAAGCTGTTCAACACCTCTGTGGAGGTGCTGCCTTTTGACGTGAGTCTCACCGCTATTCACCCGATTAATTCCCAGCACATTATTATCAGTAGCATTTTACATTACGTACATAACCTTTATACCACATATTCTATTTTAATACGAAACTCGCAGCTATAAGCCTGATTCATCTTGCCTCAGGATTATCAGTAGCACTTTACATTACATAGACATTTACTATAATACTACTGGAAATATATATAAATGTATATACACACACTGAACAAAAATATATACGCAACATGCAACTATTTAAAATATTTGACTGATTTACAGTTCATATAAGGAAATCAGTCAATTGAAATAAATTAATTAGGCCCTAATCTCTGGTTTTCACATGACTGAGAATACAGATATGCATCTGTTGGTCACAAATAGCTTTTAAAAAAAAGGTAGGGGCGTGGATCATAAAACCAGTCAGTATCTGGTGTGACCACCATTTGCCTCATGCAGTGCGACACATCTCCTTCACATAGAGTTGATCAGCCTGATTGTGGCCTGTGGAATGTTGTCCCACTCCTCTTCAATGGCTGTGCGAAGTTGCTGGATATTGGCTGAAAACTGGAACACGCTGTCGTATATGTCGATCCAGAACATCCCAAACATGCTCAATGGGTGACATGTCTGGTGAGTATGCAGGCCATGGAAGAACTGGGGCTTTTTCATCTTCCAGGAATTGTGTACAGATCCTTGCAACATGGGGCCGTGCATTATCATGCTGAGGTAAATGGCACGACAATGGGCCTCAAGATCTCGTCACGTTATCTATGTGCATTCAAATGGCCATTGATGAATTGCAATTGTGGTCATTGTCCATAGCTTATGCCTGTCCAGACCATAACCGCACCGCCACCATTGGGCACTCTGTTTATAACGTTGACATCAGAAAACCGCTCGCCCACACAACGCCATCTGTGGCATTGTGTTGTATGACAAAACTGCACATTTTAGAGTGGCATTTTATTGTCCCCAGCACAAGGTGCACCTGTGTAATGATCATGCTGTTTAATCCGCTTCTTGATATGCCACACCTGTTAGGTGGATGGATTATCTTGGCAAAGGAGAAATGCTCACTAACAGGGATGTAAACAAAATTTGTGCTCCAAATTTGAGAGAAATAAACTTATTGTGCGTATGGAACATTTTGGGCATCTTTTATTTCACCTCATGAAACATGGGACCAACACTTTACATGTTAAGTTTATATTTTTGTTCACACTACATGACCACAAGTATGTGGACACCTGCTCGTCGACCATCTCATTCCAAAATCATGGGCATTAATATGGAGATGGTCGCCCCTTTGCTGCTATAACAGCCTCCACTCTTCTGGGAAGGCTTTCCACTAGATGTTGGAACATTGCTGCGGGGATTTGCTTCCATTCAGCCACAAGAGCATTAGTGAGGTCGGGCACTGATGTTGGGCGATTAGGCCTGGTTTGCAGTCAGTGTTCCAATTCATCCCAAAAGTGTTCGATGGGGTTGAGGTCAGGGCTCTGTGCAGGCTACTTAAGTTCTTCCATACCGATCTCGACAAACCATTTCTGTATGGACCTTGCTTTGTGCACGGGGGCATTCTCATGTTGAAACAGGAAAGGGCCTTCCCCAATCTGTTGCCACAAAATTGGAAGCACAGAATCATCTATAATGTCATTGTATGCTGTTGCGTTAAGATTTTCCTTCACTGGAACTAAGGGGTCTAGACCCGAACCATGAAAAACAGCCCCAGAGCATTATTCCTCCTCCACCAAACTTTACAGTTGGCACTATGCATTGGGGCAGGTAGCGTTCTCCTGTCATCCGCCAAACCCATATTCATCCATCAGACTGCCAGATGGTGAAGCGTGATTCGTCACTCCAGAGAACGCGTTTCCACTGCTCCAGAGTCCAATGGCGGCAAGCTTTACACCACTCCTGCTGACGCTTGGCATTGCGAAAGGTGATCTTAGGCTTGTGTGCGGCTGCTCAGCAATGGAAACCATTTCATGAAGCTCCCGACTAACAGTTATTGTGCTGACGTTGCTTCCAGAGGCAGTTTGGAACACGGTAGTGAGTGTTGCAACCGAGGACAGCACTTGGCTATGCACTTCAGCACACGGTGGTCCTGTTCTGTGAGCTTGTGTGGCCTACCACTTCGCGGCTGAGCCATTGTTGCTCCTAGACATTTCCACTTCACAATAACAGCACTTATAATTAACTGGGCCAGATCTAACAGGGCAGAAATTTGACCAGCTGACTTGCTGGAAAGGTGGCATCCTATGACGGTGCCACGTTGAAAGTCACTGAGCTCTTCAATAAGGCCATTCTACTGTCAATGTTTGTCTATGGAGATAGCATGGCTGTGTGATCGATTTTATACACCTGTCAGCAACGGGTGTGGCTGAAGTAGCCAAATCCACTAATTTGAAGGGGTATCCACATACTTTTGTATATACAGTACCAGTCAAAAGTTTGGACACACCTACTCATTCAAGGGTTTTTCTTTATTTGTACTATTTTTTACATTGTAGAATAATAGTGAAGACAGCAAAACTATGAAATAACACATATGTAATCATGTATTAACCAAAAAGTGTTAAACATATCAAAATATGTTTTATATTTTTGATTCTTCAAAGTCGCCACCCTTTGCCTTGATGACAGCTTTGCACACTCTTGGCATTCTCTCAACCAGCTTCACCTGGAATGCTTTTCCAACAGTCTTGAAGGAGTTCCCACATATGCTGAGCGCTTGTTGGCTGCTTTCCCCAACTCATCCCAAACCATTTCAATTGGGTTGAGGTCGGGGGATTGTGGAGGCCAGGTCATCTGATGCAGCACTCCATCACTGTCCTTCTTTGTCAAATAGCCCTTACACAGCCTGGAGGTGTGTTGGGTCATTGTCCTGTTGAAAAACAAATGATAGTCCCACCAAGCCCAAACCAGATGGGATGGTGAATTGCTGCAGAATGCTGTGGTAGCTATGCTGGTTAAGTATGCCTTGAATTCTAAATAAATCACAGACAGTGTCACCAGCAAAGTACCCCCACACCATCACACCTCCTCCATACTTCACTGTGGGAACCACACATGCAGAGGTCATCCGTTCACCTACTCTGCGTCTCACCAAGACAAGGCGGTTGGAGCCAAAAATCTCAAATTTGGACTCATCAGACCAAAGGACAGATTTCCACCAGTCTAATGTCCATTGCTCGTGTTTCTTGGCCCAAGCAAGTCTCTTCTTCTTATTGGTGTCCTTTAGTAGTGGTTTCTTTGCAGCAATTCAACCATGAAGGTATGATTCACGCAGTCTCCTCTGAACAGTTGATGTTGAGATGTGTCTGTTACTTGAACTCTGTGAATCATTTATTTGGGCTGCATTCTGAGGTGCAGTTAACTCTAATGAACTTATCCTCTGCAGCAGAGGTAACTCTGGGTCTTCCTTTCCTGTTGTGGTCCTCATGAGAGCCAGTTTCATCATAGCACTTGATGGTTTTTGCGACTGCACTTGAAGAAACTTTCACAGTTCTTGAAATGTTCCGTATTGCCTGACCTTCATGTCTTAAAGTAATGATGGACTGTCGTTTCTCTTTGCTTATTTGAGCTGTTTTTGGCATAATATGGACTTGGTCTTTTACCAAATAGGGCTATCTTCTGTATATCCCCCTACCTTGTCACAACACAACTGATTGGCTCAAATGCATTAAGAAGGAAATAAATTCCACAAATTAACTTTTAACAGGGCACACCTGTTAATTGAAATGCATTCCAGGTGACTACCTCATGAAGCTGGTTGAGAGAATGCCAAGAGTGTGCAAAGATGTCATCAAGGGGAGGGTGCTAGAGGGATCTTAGACCATTCCTCCATATAGAATCTTTCCAAATTCTTGATATCCTTGATATCCTTCGTCTCCGCTTATGGACTGCCCTCTTTAATTAAAACCACAGGTTTTCAATGTGGGTCAAGTCCGGAGACTGAGATGGGCATTGCAAAATTTTCATTTTGTGGTCAAATAACCATTTCTTAGTGGATGTTGATGTGTACTTGGGGTTATTGTCTTGCTGGAAGATCCACTTGTGGCCAAGTGTTAGCCTCCCGGCAGAGGCAACCAGATTTTTGCCTAAATGATCCTGTTACTTGGTAGAATTCATGATGCCGGTTTGAATTGAAGAGGGCAGTCCATAAGAGCAGACAAAGGATATCAAGGATCTGAAAATATTCTGTATGGATGAATGGTCTAAGATCCGCAGGTTGACGTTTATTGTCATGAGTCTTGTCCTGGAGGCAGATTTTAGCAATTTCCCCTTAGATAAGCCATCTGCAAAGTCCAAATTGGACTATATATATATATATATATATATACAGTATATGCTTTTTGGTCTTAATTTAAAGTTATGGTTAGGTGTTAGGGTTAGCATTTTGGTTAGGGTTAGGTTTAAAATCAGATGTTATGACTTTGTGGCTGTGCCAGCTAGTGACCCTCCGAACAAGATTAATGACGAGAAATGCTAGCCTGCCTAGGATCGCTCCCAACGTGTTCTCCAATCACATAAAATGTGTCGTTATCCTCCCAAGGGGAGGGTGCTAGAGTCCTGAAAACAGGGGTGGCAATAATTTCGACCCGTCTTTTTTAAATTATTCTTTATTACTTATTAAGCAAAATAAAATCTCTGAGCAATTTTTGGGAGCATGCAATATAGTCCCAGTATTTGTATTATTTGTTTTATATAATATTTTTTGCTCATATTTATCAAGGGTGCCAATAATTATGGACTGTAATTCTCTCAAGTGGAAAGACATCTGACGTCAACTTCCATCTTGTTGACATAGGAGCACATAAACCATGTTGAAAGGCGAGCACCCAGTGTTAAGCCCCAGAGGATACAGAGAGGGAGAGAGAGAGAGGTGAAGAAGAAGAGATGAGAAATGACTCAAGACAGAGCAAGATTCTCTCTCAAAAAAACTCCCGGGCGGTGGTAATCAGATCAGTCTCCCGCCAGCCACGGTTCGAGCGCTTTTGCCTTAAAATGATATTTCATCCGGCAGGAGGGCTAGGCGAGGCGGGGATTTCAGATTATGCCCCGCAAACCACCGCTCGCCACGACTGATTAATAGCACGATATCGCTCTCCTCCTGTCTCTCCTCCTGTCTCTCCTCCTGTCTCTCCTCCTGTCTCTCCTCCTGTCTCTCCTCCCTCTCGCTCGATCTATCTCTTTTTTATTATTTATTCTCCGCCCTCCTGCACTCATTCAATCTATGAGGGAAGAGTGCAAATAGGGTGGAGATGTTGCTGTTTTTGTTGTTGTTCCTCCTATAGGAAGAATACAGTGCATTCGGAAAGTATTCAGACCCCTTGACATTTTCCACATTTTGTTAGGTTACAGCCTTATTCTAAAATGGATTCAATTAATTTCCTCATCAATCTACACACAATACCCCATAATGACAAAGCAAAAACAGGTTTTTAGAAATCTTTGCAAATTTAATAAAAATAAAAAACAGAAATACCTTATTTACATAAGTATTCAGACCCTTTGCTATGAGACTCGAAATTGAGCTCAGGTGCATCCTGTTTCCATTGATCATCCTTGAGATGTTTCTACAACCTGATTGGAGTCCACCTGTGGTAAATTCAATTGATTGGGCACGATTTGGAAAGGCACACACCTGTATATATAGGGTCCCACAGTTGACAGTGCATGTCAGAGCAAGAACCAAGCCATGAGGTCGAAGGAATTGTCCGTAGAGTGCCAAGACAGGATTGTGTTGAGGCACAGATCTGGGGAAGGGTACCAAAACATTTATGCAGCAATGAAGGTCCCTAAGAACACAGTGGCCTCCATCATTCTTGCATTTTAATTTTTTTTGTGGGGGGGGATTTTACCCCCTTATTACTCCCCAATTTCGATCTTGTCTCATCGCTGCAACTCCCCAACGGGCACAGGAGGCGAAGGTCAAGTCATGCGTCCTCCTAAACATGACCCGCCAAACCGTGCTTCTTAACACCTGCCCGCTTAACCCGGAAGCCAGCCGCACCAATGTGTCGGAGGAAACACTATTCAACTGACGACCAAAGTCAGCCTGCAGGCGCCCGGCCTGTCTCTGAATGTCCTTGAGTGGCCCAGCCAGAGCCCGGACTTGAAACCCGATCGAACATCTCTGGTGAGACCTGAAAATAGCTGTGCAGCGACGCTCCCCATCCAACCTGACAGAGCTTGAGAGGGACTGCAGAGAAGAATGGGAGAAACTTCCCAAATACAGGTGTGCCAAGCTTGTAGCATCATACCCAAGAAGACTTGAGGCTGTAATCGCTGCCAAAAGTCCTTCAACAAAGTACTGAGTAAAGGGTCTTAATACTTATGTAAATGTGATATTTCAGTCTTTTTTAAAATATATATAAATTAGAAAAAATGTATAACCTGTTTTTGCTTTGTCGTTATCGGTTATTGTGTGTAGTTTAATTAGGACTTTAAAAAAAATCAATTTTAGAATAATGCTGTAATGTAACAAAATGTGGAAAAAGTCACTGTATGTGCTAATGGAAGTGTTGCATGTCTTTCAACCCACAAAAAGTCATGCTTGGCTTAGAATGGAAAAAACAGGATGAGAAAGAGAGAGAAATGTGATGAAAGATGAGAAGAAGACAGGAAGGTGATTAGAGGAGGAGGAAGAAGAAATTGAAACGATAAAGAGACGAGAAAGAATGAGAGAGAGAGAACCTCGCTGTCAGCTGCAGTACAATGGTGGGAGGGAAATGTCATATTTTGACTAGCGTAATCACTTGTGTGATCATCCTGCATTGATTTCTGTTTAGAGCAACAGAATAGAAAAAACCTCTCAAAAGGTCAGCTTGTTTTCCCTCTTTCCGTCCTCCCGTCCTTTCTCCTTCATTGCTTTAGATAAATGAGTCAAACAGATACTGTATTTCTCCAACAGTGTGATTGGCTATGACACAGCAGCAAAGCTAAAGAGTCCCGCTTCGTTCGGCTCCCTTTTCTATGAAGACTTATTGATATCTCTACTCTTTTTTATGTTGTAAGACGAGAGATAGTAGTTAGGTGGATCTGAGCTCATGCCTAGTGCTGTGAGGTGAAGATTCTGCATGCACGCTTGCATGCCATCTGCTAACTGAATATGGGAGGACAATAGAGTGGAGTTTGCTGTTTGTGAATGCATTGGTTGATGATGTATAGATTGAAGCTGTGATCTGAGTGCAGATCAGGGTTGCTGCTTGCATTGATATTGGTGTGTTGTGCGTTCCTGTGTTGTGTTCATCACACACCTATCTCTTCTCCTACAGAACATCCAGTCTGAGAAAGAGGCCTTGAAAGAGGGGAGAGAGAAAACACCAAAATACCACAGAACAGAGGACGGCTTTATCAGAATAGGTGAGTATTAGTATGAAAAACGACTTTACCTGGGTCATGTACACTACCAGACAAAAGTTTGGACACACCTACTCATTCAAGGGTTTTTCTTTATTTTTTACTATTTTTTACATTGTAGAATAATAGTGAAGACATCAAAACTATGAAATAACACATATGGAATCATGCAGTAACCAAAAAGTGTTAAACAAATCAAAATATATTTCATATATACTTCAAATAGCCACCCTTTGCCTTGATGACAGCTTTGCAGACTCTTGGCATTCTCTCAGCCAGCTTCATGAAGTAGTCACCTGGAATGAATTTCAATTAACAGGTGTGCTTTCTTTAAAGTTATTTGTGGAATTCCTTTCCTTCTTAATGCCTTTGAGCCAATCAGTTGTGTTGTGACAAGGTAGGGGTGGTATACAGAAGATAGCCCTATTTGGTAAAAGACCAAGTCTATATTATGGCAAGAACATCTCAAATAAGCAAAGAGAAATTACAGTCCATCATTACTTTAAGACATGAAGGTCAGTCAATACTGAACATTTCAAGAACTTTGAAAGTTTCTTCAAGTGTAGTCGCAAATACCATCAAGTGCTGTGATGAAACTGGCTCTCATGAGGACCGCCACAGGAATGGAAGACCCAGAGTTACCTCTGCTGCAGAGGATAAGTTCATTAGAGTTACCAGCCACAGAAATTGCAGCCCAAATAAATGCTTCTTTTTTTTTCACCTTTATTTAACCAGGTAGGCCAGTTGAGAACAAGTTCTCATTTACAACTGCGACCTGGCCAAGATAAAGCAAAGCAGTGCGATAAAAACAACAACAACACAGAGTTACATATGGGATAAACAATAACATACAGTCAATAACACAATAGAAAAATAGAAAGTCTATATACAGTGTGTGCAAATGTAGTAAATGATGGAGGTAAGGCAATAAATAGGCCATAGTGCAAAATAATTAATCAGGCCTTCATGGTCGAATTGCTGCAAATAAACCACTACTAAAGGACACCAATAAGAAGAAGAGACCTGCTTGGGCCAAGAAACACGAGCAATGGACATTAGACCGGTGGAAATGTGTCCTTTGGTCTGGAGTCCAAATTTGAGATTTTTGGTTCCAACCGCCGTGTCTTTGTGAGACGCGGTGTGGGTGAACGGATGATCTCCGCATTTGTATTTCCCACTGTAAAGCACGGAGGAGGAGGTGTTATGGTGTGGGGGTACTTTGTCTGTGATTTATTTAGAATTCAAGGCACACTTAACCAGCATGGCTACCACAGCATTCTGCAGCGATACGCCATTCCATCTGGTTTGGGCTTGGTGGAACTATCATTTGTTTTTCAACAGGACAATGACCCAACACACCTCCAGGCTGTGTAAGGGCTATTTGATCAAGAAGGAGATTGATGGAGTGCTGCATCAGATGACCTGGCCTCCACAATCCCCCGACCTCAACCAAATTGGATAGTTTGGGATGAGTCGGACGGCAAGTGCTAAGCATATGTGGGAACTCCTTCAAGACTGTTGGAAAATCATTCCAGGTGAAGCTGGTTGAGAGATTGCCAAGAGTGTGCAAAGCTGTCAAGGCAAAGGGTGGCTATTTGAAGAGTCTCAAATATAAAATATTTGTTTAACACACACACACAGACACACACACCAGACAGGCCTCTGACTGTTGATTTTATTAGAATCCCCATTAGCCATCTCCAATTATCGAGGGCTCCAATGCACCGGTTAGTTGCTGCACCATCTAGCACTTTACAGGATGATGGGTCAGTGGTAGGCGTGGATAAGGGCTACCTTCACAGTTTTTAGTGGACCTTAGGTGTTCTTTCTGAAATTGTATGAAGTGCAAGAAAGGTGTTGAGCCGGTGTGCTTTTATAATGAAAGCATTGTGCTCATTGGAGAGAACGGATGAAATGACATTACAGTCTTCAAATCATGTTGAAATAGGAAGATGGGTAAAATGTAATTCAAATAAGGTGGAAAGAAGGGTTTGAGGTCAATTCCGTTACAGCTGATTCAGTGGCAAGTGTTAGATACTCCATGGTTCCTTCCTTAATTACAGATCTGAGAGGGGAAAAACACATATTGTTGTGTTACAAAGTGGGATTAAAATGGATTTAATTCTCATTGGTTGTCATCGATCTACACAAAATACTCTGTCAAAGTTGGAAGAAACATTATAATTTTTTTTATTAATGGAAAATAAAACACTAATATATTTGGGTTAGATAAGTATTTAACCTCCTGAGTCAATGCATGTTAGAATCAACTTTGGCAGCGATTACAGCTTTGAGTCTTTCTGGGTAAGTCAAACCTGGATTCTAAAATATTTGCCCATTATTCTTTTTTAAATTCTTCAAGCTCTGTGAAGTTAGTTGTTGATTATTGCTAGACAGCCATTTTCAAGTTTTGTCATAGATGTCCAAGCTTATTTAAGTCAAAACTGTATCTAGGACATGCAGGAACATTCAATGTCGTCTTGGTAAGCAACTTCAGTGTAGATTTGGCCTTGTATTTTAGGTTATTGTCCTGCTGAAAGGTGGATTTGTCTCCCAGTGTCTGTTGGAAAACAGACTGAACCAGATTTTCCTTTAGGACTTTGCCTGTGCTTAGCTCTATTCCTTTTCTTTTTATCCAAAACAACTTCCTAGACCTTGCTGATGACAAGCATACCCATAACATGATGCAGCCACCACCATGCTTGGAAATATGAAGAGTGGTACTCAGTGATGTGTTGTTTTGGATTTGCCCCGAACATAATGCTTTGTATTCAGGACAAAAGTTAATTTCTTTGCCAAATTTGTTGTAGTATTACTTTAGTGCCTTATTGCAAACATGATGCATGTTTTGAAATATTTCTATTCTTTACAGGTTTCCTTCTTTTCACTCTGTCTTTTAGGTTAGTATTGTGGAGTAACTACAATGTTTTCTCCTATCACAGCCATTTAACTCTGTAAAAGGTTTAAAATCACCATTGGCCTCATGGTGAAATTCCTGTATCTTTGTAGTGACTGGGTTTATTGATACACCATCCAAAGTGTAATTAATAACTTCAGCATGCTCAAAGGGATATTCAATGTCTGTCTGTTTTTTTTTACCCATCTACCAATCAGTGCCCTTCTTTGCGAGGCATTGGAAAACCTCCCTGGTCTTTGTGGTTGAATCTGTGCTTAAAATGTATTGCTCGACTGAGGAACCTTAAAGATACAGTAATTGTATGTGTGGGGTACAGAGATGGGCTAGTCATTCAAAAATCATGTTCAACACCATTATTGCATGCAGAGTTAGTCCATGCAACTTATTATGTGACTTGTTAAGCACATTTTTACTCCTGATGTTATTTAGGCCTGCCATAACGAAGGGGCTGAATGCTTATTGACTCAAGACATTTCAGCTTTTCATTTTTTGTTAACTTTTTTAACATAATTCTACTTTGACATTATGGGGCATTATGTGTAGATCAGTGACACAATATCTACATTAAATCAATTTTAAATTCAGGCTGTAACACATCAAAATGTGGAAAACGTCAAGGGATATGAATATTTTCTGAAAACACTGTAGGTGCCGGTACAATATGTATTGCGATTATCACAATTCTATGTGTTGCAATTCGATATTGTGATTTTATTGCGCTTGGATGTTCCAAACATATTGCTCACTAAATGTCTGCTGCATAGAGACAAGAGAGCATGAGAAAATGTGTTTTGATCATTCATGGAATAAAGTGCTGAAAACATTTCCGCTCACTATTTAAAAAGAAGATGGAGAACAAGCTATAGGATGAAAAATACCAGAGGTTTGGTGCAGGTAGAGCTGACTAGTGCTAGCTAACTCAACTTAGAAAAAAATGATACAAAAAAAAGTCCAAGTATTGGTATAATATTGTCCAAAATAATGCGAGATGTAATTGTATCGATTCCCCCCCCCCATCCTTATGACATCATATAAATTACTACAAGCGCTCCCACTCAGTCATTAATAGTTCAAGCAGGAATCAATATCAGTCTGGCACAGAAGTTCACATTTGGACCAAATCAATTATTTGTGTGATGTCGCTATCAAAAGTTCACCATGTTCTTCTTCTCCTTCCAGCTCCACTCCTATTTGCTTTCAGGCGTAGTGTAACCTAAAGCACAGAACTCACTCTATCCTCCATATGTTTGATTTGATACTCTACGTTGTGGAACAAGATTGATAAGACAGATAATTCATTTTGTATGGGTAGCATTTCTGTAGTAGAGCGACAAAGAAAGCATAGCAAAGCATGTTATGGTCACATTTGATACCCCCTCCTTGGCTTGAACCAATTGAAATGTCAACACAACATATCTTGACTAATATGAACTCTGTTATAATTTAGGAGCCCTTACAGTATTTATTGAGGGACAAATGCAATACAATGCTGCATCATGACTATGGTGTTTATTGAAGAAGTTAATAGATTTCCAGCCACAGTCCATTAGATAGATTCGTTTGATGTATTGAGCCTCTCTCTCTGTCCTCTAGGATTGTTCCATAATGGGATCGCCGAGGGGGAGGTAGACCCCACGTTCGGGCCCCTGGAGGCCCTTCGTCTCTCTGTGATCACAGACTGCCCCGTCTGGGTCATCCTGAGCGAGGTAAGCCGGCCCAGCCATCACCCGTTCACCACAGAATCTTGGGAATTTTGTCTCGTAAAGAACCCCTTGAATTTTAGGAAACTTAAAGTGATAGTTGGTCAGATGTTTTCAGGCCTCAAAAGTGGTCTAATATCAAGTTTAATCCATTTTCCAAGCTGTCCTTTGTGCAGGTATATCTCTCAAACAGATGCCTAGTTTTTTTTGTCTCAAGTGCTATGTCTCGTGCATTTCAGATATTCATCAAGAAAGCAGAGTGAACTTCAACACCCTGCAGCAATACCTCAGTCATCCGTTGGACCGTTCCGCAGAGGAACGGAGCCTTTGCAAGCTATACTAATTCTTTAGCTTTTGGCAATGTTTTTCTCGAGCACGGTCAGAGTGTTCCATCTTCTGGTGTGATCTTGCCATCGCAGGGTACTACTGAGACCGTCAGCCCAAATCATGGTTGACAGACCTCATACGAAGATCTGCCTAGACGCGTAATCGGAGAACATTTGGCCTGCGTGGACGACACACAGGCTACGCTTTATTTAGGAAACTGTATTTATGTGTACATAAGGGTTTATGTTTTAAATAACTGTAATTACACTGGTAATTGTCAAATAACTGGTGAGATTGCCTCTCCCCTTTTGATGAGACTATGACAATAAAATATTGCTGCTTCGGAATCAAAGACTTGGCTACACAGTCACCCAGATATGACAAAATTGTGCAACTTCAATATCCTTTAATCATGTATGACAAATGTTCCTGGTTTTACCCAAATGTATACATAAAATAGCTATGTATGTGGATATAGGCCTAATATGCATATTTATGTAACACAATCATATGAATGATCTCTGTTATGTGTGTTGATATGTATATACAGTGAGTGAGTGTCCACAAAAGTCAATCAGTAATGTAGCCTAGGCTTATACAGTGTAGAAGGAAATTAAACTTTAGCTAAAAAGTACATACTTGTCTAATGTTTGAATAAAATGTATTTATACGGTCAATTCTAAAGCCAGAAGTCAATGTAGGAACATTATGATTATGGTTCGAACATCTGTTTGTGATTTATTTCATGAACCATCATTGCTAACATAGTTTTTTCCCCCCCCTCTCCGCCTATCAATTTGCCTTAATGTGACATGGAGTTAACCAATTTGTTGGGATAAATCAAAGTAAACCAAGGCCAGACATGAGCTCCTCTATTGCATTAGCTAGGAAACCAGAAAAGACAGCTGTCTCGATAGTACAGGAAACATACTGTATATCTGACTTAGCTGTTGGATTTGCTCCATCTGCCACATATCAGATACATGCAGTTAGTTGTATCCAAGGGGCCACTGGAGATACACGTGGCTACAGAGTAATTGTTTGGACTGGTCGGATGTAAGAGAAATATGTAGCTCTAACCAATGCATGAAGAATAATCTTTACTGTCAACTGGATCAATGTTTCTCATAATGACCATGAAGAAGTCAAGGAAGAACCCCTCTGTCCAATCTAAGTTCCACTCAAGTGAGGGCTGAAAGCGAGAAACTGTCCAATATGACAACCCCTCTCCTTCCACATAGTCTGCACTACTATTACATTAAATTGGAAGTCGAACTTATTCAAGGACTGTAATTGTCCCAACACCAGACTTATATAGTACATCTTCCAAATAGGCTCTGTAAATGCAAGGGCTACACAACTTGTATACATTACTATGATGCAAAGGGTATATAGCAGTAAAGGGACACATTCATTTGCTATTGCATATTTGGATCCACAAACGTTTTTTTTCCAGAGCCCAACCACAAAACCATTGAAAGCTCTTGATCGAAATCTAAAGAGTTGTGTCGGCAAAGAACAATATTATGGGATTTCAGCCAATACAAGTGGACTGAAAAAGAATAAGCTTGGGAACCTGTAGCAACATTTCCTATCGAATACCGACTGGCAACAGTTGCTAATTCTGTTCAACGTCAGCACAGTCTCTCAGCAACAACCGACACAAACTGGTTTTCCGTTCATTGAGGTGTGCACTCCAGGGCCAGCCAGCGCAAACTGGAGGTTGTGCCAAAACGATTTGTCTTAGCAGCCCCATCAATGTTGTTGGTATGGCCGCTATACAATAGCAGGTGCACGGTTGCATTAAGTCAATGGAGGGCAATGGCCAGAAAAATCTGAACTGTACCCAATGACTCTGACCTGCCCTGTGCTAAGGAGAAATAGTTGTCTTTTCTTGTAAGAGCCACCGGAATGCATTGCTATTATACGTTGTATTTTGTATAATTTAGATAAACTATATTTAATTACGTTATCTTCAATCCAATCTGTGAATTGTAATAAAGACGGAATTTTAATTGACTGAATCTGAGTATGCTAATCTCGTTTAGGCCTAGATGTGGATTAGTCTGCTGTTGTGAATGACAGGCTATGCTACTCTTCTGGTGCCAAATCACGTGCAAGGGTGACATTCCTTACATACTTCATCAATGGACAATGTGACTGCAATGTCCCATTTATTGCAGTCGGTAGGATGCAAGAGAGTATGTGTAGTTATTACTATGATGATATTGTAGGGTAGGCTATTTTATATTTTCATTTAGCTGCATACAGTCAGTGCACTTCAGAAAAACTGAATGTATAGAATACAGCATTTATTTTCAAACATTATCCTCCATACAATATAAAGCACTTTGAGTACTTGTAACACTATATAAATCCAGTCCATTATTATGGGGCTCAAACACACCTAACTTTGGCCAGGATGGGGGCATGCAATATGAATTTGTGGTGGTTTTTGATAATCATGGTGAGGAAAAAGAACTGTATTCTAATTAATTGTACATTATTGAATAAGCCTCCACCATATTCAATAGGCCTAACATTCGGAATGATCAAATCGGTGCTCTAGTTGATCAATTATTTATATTTTACTGTTTCACTCACACCTCTTCTTTTAATTTGCTTCGGCTCTAGCCAACTTCACAAAGTGCATAAATCATTAATTGATGATACACTACAAAATGTCATCAATCATCAGTAAACGCTGTCCCTGCATTATTATTATAATAAATATGTTTGCCCTGTCTTATGGTCGTCACTAATGAACACTAGTTAACGCAGCCACAAAGTCATAATTATGGATAACATTATGCCAGGGTTCTTCAATTCCGGTCCTGGAGGGCAGAAACACTTCTGTTTTTTATTTCTACATGGTAGTTAATTGCACTCACCTGGTGTCCCAGGTCTGAATTAGCCCCTGATTAGAAGGAGAGGATGAAAAACAGAGGTGTTTCGGCCCTCCAGGACCGGAATTGAAGAACCCTGCTTTATGCCTAACCCTAACCTCAAATGAAGACCAAAAGCAATTTTTTTGTAGCCAATTTAGACTTTGTGGCTGTGGAATCTTACTTTGTGGCTGTGTTAGCTAGTGGAAACCCTGTCGTACTATAGCCAATCAGCATGCATTTCCTCTTACAGCTGGACAAATCATCGCCGTCCACGGTGTTAGGATTGGGGGCGGAGACCATATACTGTGATTGACGTGTAGCACAAGCAATCCAATTCTTAAACTTCCCGGAAAACGGCAACATTTTCACTTCAGCAACCAATAAGCAATTGAAGAAGGTGGGGCTACTAATCCAGAGTGCATGCCCCAAAATCACACGTGATCCCGCTGTAGTTCAAGGTGTCACATCGAAAGCAGGAGGTACGTAATGACGAACAAATGTCACTTATTTCAAATATAGCTACATCGCTAAATTATTCTTTCAGTCTACATTTACATAACTTGTTCCGTTGCATGCAATACTGTCCAGTATCTTTTAACTGTATTATTTATCTTAATGAATAAGCTCGAGAACCGATGCGTGGTCTTGGCTTGGACTGGTGAATAGCTGACAGGCCAGCTATTTAGTAAGCTAATTTAGCTAACTAGTTAGTAATAAAGATAGCTACTGTTAGCCAACAAATTCACGTCTGTGTGTTGTCATGCAACACTTCTGTCAGTTGCACACAATTGCTCGTGTCCCTTTTGCCGACGTTTTTTCATTGTCTACTTAGCTAAGACATTTTGAAAGTGTTTTAGTCAGCTAGCTACTGTAGGCAAGAATACACGGCTGCATCCATCTAATGTCACCTAATAAGTGGATAACAAAATACCGGCCTCGAACTAAAGTAAGGAAATTGACAAGTATTGCCTTAGTGTGCAAATGTCAGAACGTTTGTGTAACAAAAATGACGCAGGTATATTATCAGAAAGAAATATCAGTCGTGATGGCTATATTTAAATCTCGAGCACAAGTAAATGAATGAATGGACTCATGAAGCGTTGTGCCCTAACGTTAATGACCTACCTGTAACGTTATGTCCTTTTTAGTTTGGTCATTGTAATCTCTTTGCCTGTGTTGTATGGTAGTGGGCGACAAGGCCTACTCACATCAAATAGGGGGTTATCGAGATGAGAAACTAGCTACAGATAGTTATTGTATTTGAAATAATTTCCTTTAGGAGTTACATGAACCTGCTTGTAGGAATGGCCACATGGAAACGGGTATTACTGGTGGTGATGAAACTCATAGAAGTCTGACCAGTTTTTAAAACCCACTTCCTCCAATGAATTTAACGGGAAAGTGCAACAGCTACGTAGATAATGGTCATTCAACACCCTCTTGGAAATGTGGCTTTAAGAGTTTGCACATCTGAATAAAGGAATTGGCGTGTGTCATCTTATTGAATGGTTTACACATTTTTAGCTAGCTATCTGAGAAATGTAAATTTTCTTCTAGTGATAAATGGAAATTATTTATTTATCTGAATGGGAAGTTGGACATTCATTATTTACCCATCGTTAAATAATGACTTCTCATTTATGGTCACATGAAGAGCTGTTACATTTTAATTGTACATGTTGACAAGATGATTGCACCTTTAACCCACTCTCCTCTTGTTGACCTAATCTAGCAACTAATGTTGAATGGTACAATAGACTCATTTACATTTTACATTTTTACTCATTTAGCAGACGCTCTTATCCAGAGCGACTTACAGGAGCAATTAGGGTTAAGTGCCTTGCTCAAGGGCACATCAACAGATTTTTCACCTAGTCGGCTCTGGGATTAGAACCAGCGACCTTTCGGTTACTGGCACAACGCTCTTACCCACTAAGCTACCTACTCGCATGCTTGAAAATATATTTGCTTTTATTTAGTCTTACATCTTCCATTCTCTCTTTGAGACAGTCAAGACCCCCACAAGGCACATGAGGGTCATAGGATAAGGACCCAATCTGCTTAAACCCACTGCACACCCACACTTAGATCCCTACAGTGAACTAAATGGAATGAATTCAGAAGACTGGCTGGCTGATAATACTCTTTGATGTGTTGATTGAGCACTGATTGATTACTCTACTGTCCCCTCCCCCTCGAATCTGCTCAGTCCCTCACTTGAATACATGTGACCACTGAGGCATGATGTGAATGGGGGAAGGGTGTCCACTTGGCAGCACAACTAGGCCTCCCCTGTCTCCCCTCCTGTGTGTGTCAGTGTGTTGGTTTGTTTTGTTTGCCCCATGATGTCTTCAGCTTGTGGTGAGGAAGTGAAATTTGGCACTCCTCTCACGTTTTTCCCTCCGGCCCTCCCAGCCACCACCCCTGGCCCACAAGGCACCTCGGATTTGCCCTACCCCCCCAGGTGGCAGCCACCCTTCCAGCTCCTATGTCCCACAAAACAGAGAGCTGAATGTGGGCCTAGCGTGTCAACAACAACTCCTTTACCTCACCCACCCCCATAAGTCCTGTATCTCATCCCTCACGCTCACACTCGGTCAGTTGATCGTCAAGTTACGTGCATGGTGCTTTGGTGGTGAGCTCCCCTCTGGTTATCCCTTCTCTGTTGGCAGCCTGACTTGTTGCAGGGAAAACACCCTAGTCACAGTGTACAAACAGACGCATGGCAGAATCCTCTATTGGAGAACACACCAGCCGTCGTGTAGAAACCACCAGCACTGTCACCTGGCCTGGAGCTGTTCCTCTTTTCTATTCTATGAAAAGTTGTGAAGTTTTAGATTCATTTCTCCTCCGGCACTGGCACGGCAAACCCATGTGGTCACTGAAGTTTGTCTCGTTAATGTGTATTGTCAATGTGCTCAAGATATATTAGATAGCCTAGATATAGCCTACCTAGATATATTAATGCATAGCCTTTTTGGGGAGGTTGGAAAATCTTATCCGCATTAGCCTACTGGGTGGACACCCTAATCAGGTTACGCAACCAATGCATATGGGTCCAGTACATTTCTCAAATGTCTTAAATTAAAATGCTGCCGGTCAAAATGTCTGCCTTAATTAAGGGATTGTGGTCACTGGAGATGCCTTTAAGGTAGGGGTGAGAGATATACACCCTTCCCCCCCCCCCCAGCCAACTCCTATCTGTCCGGAACGGTTTTACAATGACACACTCAGGCCTTCATATGACACTGAAATAGGCTACTACTTTATTCTGTGATGGCTTTTCCTTGTGATAGTCAGCATCAGGCTCTGTACACACACGCATATGTTGTGTTTGCAGCTCTCTGGATTTATCCCCTCAGGACACTCCCTAGGGGACCTGGCTCTAGAGGTGACATGCCCTTGGGGGTAGCGCCCTGGTTACCGTTCCGGACAGATAGGAGTTGGCTGGGGGGGGGGAAGGGTGTATATCTCTCACCCCTACCTTAAAGGCATCTCCAGTGACCACAATCCCTTAATTAAGGCAGACATTTTGACCGGCAGCATTTTAATTTAAGACATTTGAGAAATGTACTGGACCCATATGCATTGGTTGCGTAACCTGATTAGGGTGTCCACCCACAGTTTACAGAATGACAGACATCACATTTAGATTATGGTTATTTATCTTAACAGAACATACAACTCCAGGATGCAATGGCGTGTGTCCTTCTTACTGAATTCCAATGCAAACTTTTACCATTTTACAATAACTGCCACATTTACTGTTCCTCAGCCAACAAGACGAGGAACAAACAGCAAAATCACTAACCTAATATCCCCCATAAAAGTGTACCTATTCTATTGGTCAGCTTGTCGTTCTGCGCGAGAAAGAAATGGCCTCTGGGACAGTTGTGGGAGATACAACCAGTAGGCCTAGGCTACATAACAATAAACTTTAAAAAGCAATGAGGTTGGTGCAACAGATCAGAACGTTTAGCTTAGAATGTTACTAAACTATTTCTTCACATTATAAGCACAGCAATGCACACAACGAAGTAGGCTACGCGCGAATGTTCGTTTCATAATGCAATTAGTGGAAAAACACTGTTGTCAAAAGCGCACCACACAGAGATTAAAATATCCATTATAAGTTTTGAGAGGGGATATCTAAAGATGCAGCAACTAGCATGGGTTGCTAATATGACTAGGATTGTGCCTTTGGCTACTGGACAATGAAAGAAAGTTGATTTTAAAACCAATAGAACATGAGAGAAATAGACCACTGGTTTCAATGGCATATGGAAGTCTTTGTAAAATTATTGCCTCCAAGTTTCTATGGTCGGCTTTTACTTTGAAGCGAGGAAAGACATAATATGAAGTAAAACGTTCAGGTTTCAAACAATTAAGTAGTGTTTTTTCTCCAAAATGCGTTCTGCATTTGGTGTTCATAGCAAAGTGGTGTGTGACGCGCTGAAGCCTGGCTAATGTTGCACTTGAATGGCGAATGGGAAGCATTCCACTCAATTTTAAGCTATTTTTTTTAAAGCAGTGGGGCAGTCCCGCTCACTTTGTAAATTTTTTTGAGATAAGAAGATAGGAAAGTGTTGAAAAGATGGGGAATATATGGGCAGGGTGAGTCAAAGGGCAGTGGGCCGGATTCGAACTCATGCCGACTCTGGCATATGTGTGCCGGGGTCAACGGCTGTAACCTCTGTAACACACAAGCCTCTAAATCCACAAAATGATGCAAATTATAACCTATAAACCGATAAGCGTGTCCAGTCAAATGTATTAACATCGACTGGTATTTCCATAAATTAATAGGCAAAAAAGTATTGTTTTGCAATGGGATTTTTTTTCTTCTCCCTATGTATCGATTTATTTATTTTTTGTTGCCAAAAGCCGGCTTTACCGGCTAACGGAAAACCTGCTATAGATATGCTACATAGGGTATTGGATACATTGTTAATCCAAATGCCATGTGGAAAGTAGAGCATTATGGTCATCTTGGCCTGATAATAGCCACTCTGCTAAACTAGCATGACTGTGCTATGCAATGGGAAGCGTTAGCCGGTGTGGCTACGGACGTTAATCCCGTGTGGGGTTAAGCTCATTAGCGGAACAGTCTGCTATGTTCATGGTATGTACAGTAATGCGTTAATGACAAAAAGACAGTTGGTAACTTTGGTTAGTGTGTTAATAGACTTAGAAGCCCTTTAAATTATTAATTGATATCAAATTATATTGTAGTCATAAAATATGGCCTAGATATCAGTTGTCTGTACTGCATATGGTAATTGTGGTCCTCTGTAGCTCAATTGGTAGAGCATGGTGCTTGTAACGCCAGGGTAGTGGGTTCGATCCCCGGGACCACCCATACGTAAAAATGTATGCACACATGACTGTAAATCGCTTTGGATAAAAGCGTCTGCTAAATGGCATATTATTATTTATTATTATTACATCCTCCCTCACTCCGTACCCAGCCCCACTTATTTGGCTAATGGTATCAGAACATGCCGAGGGTTGAGAGTAGGGTGGAATTATAACAGATTGCAATCTCATTGATTTTATCTTAGAGAAGACAAAGACCCAATCCCAAATCGATCCTTGCCCCCTAGGTGTTTCTGAATATATAAGTTGATTGGATAGGTGTAAGAAACATTGTAATAGTTCCACCTTGCCTTCTGATGGTTAGGCAGAATATTTGCCATATTGCTTAAACACCTATCCAGCCCTCTCAATTAGATTTGGGATAGTGTCGGAGGAACGGACACCGTCTGTGTGCACACCGTCTGTCCTAAATTGTTTGTATGGTGTTGAGTAAATTGCCTGTGAATAATATGAAAGGTAAATGTGTGTGTGTGTGTGTGTGTGTGTGTAAACTCCATGTGTGTGTGTTACGTGGTGCGCTAGTGTAATCTCATTGGACCTAATCTCATTAGGGGAAGGGGCTGAGGCTGCATATCCCTCAGGCTCGTCACTATGGCAATGGGTGCCAGTGAGGCACTGGGTAACGCCATGTAGACCATATGCCTGGCAACAGTCGGAGGGTGTGTGCGTTCAGTAGGCATGGAAAGGAGAAAATGTTTAGAACATTAGGAGGGAGCCTAGTAGTAGTACTAATGGTCAATCTGGTTCCAGGAGCTTTTAATCATAGTGCTTATAAGACCAGGGTTGTGGTTTTGATTCCTGCATGTACCACCTATACCAGTCATTTAGCAGATGCTCTTATCCAGAGCGACTTACAGTTAGTGAGTGCATACATTATTTTTTTATTTTTTCATACTGGCCCCCCGTGGGAATCGAACCCACAACCCTGGCGTTGCAAACGCCATGCTCTACCAACTGCGCTACATCCCTGCCGGCCATTCCCTCCCCTAACCTGGACGACGCTGGGCCAATTGTGCGCCGCCCCGTGGGTCTCCCGGTCGCGGCCGGCTACGACAGAGCCTGGATTCGAACCAGGATCTCTAGTGGCACAGCTAGCACTGCGATGCAGAGCCTTAGACCACTGCGCCACTCGGGAGGACGATGCTAGATTGCATTGTCAGTCGCCACCATATTTTTGTCTCTGTTAGACTGTCTCTCATGTAGGCCAGTGACGCTCACCCATCCCCCCCAACAAGCAGACTCTTTCTCTTTTTCTCCCTCCTGTATCCCTCCTCTCATCTCACCCCTTGTTTATGCTTTATTAAATGGCCGCCTTCTCTACTCTCACTGCTGTAATTTGCCTTCCTCCATCACATCCCTTTCTTCACCTTTCATGTTCTACCAATAGCCTCCATCTTTCTTTCTCTTAACCACCGTTTGAAATCAGCCTCTACTCTTAGACATTTTGATATGGATGGGTGTAACTAAGCAATACTACTGTAGCTCCGCTTCTCCTCCCTAGCCCTCGGGGTAAGGTGGCTAGGAATCTGTATGCCAAATGCAACAGCTGAAACGGATAAGGAGGGGATTCAATAGGAATCTAAATGAATGTAGATGCAGACCGTAACATATTCCCACTTGTTAATTAGCCTAAGTAATTAGTGTACTGTTATTCCGCCATACTTCTTATTAAAACACTTTTGGACAGCTGACGAGCAAACGCACATTTTCTTCAAGAAATGTACCTTTTCTAGTTTATTAATTGCTCTCTCTTCTCTCCCTTAGACTATGGAGCTGAAGACGAGGTATGTTCTGCTGCTGGCCGTGGGCCTGTGCGCCACACTGCTACTGACCACGGTGACCGCCCACCAGGAGGACGACGACGACGAGCCTATCATGGAGATGGGGGGCGACATGGACGTGGAAGACGAGATGGAGGAGCTTGGCCTCGGGGAGGAGCTTCTGGACGGGGAGGTTGAGGCAGTCACGCCCCCAGGACCACCTCCAGCCCCTAAAGTAAGTTTATCCCATCCCAATCACCTAGACCAGTGTGTGTGTAAGGTTATGGTTTTAGTCGTAAAAATCCCAGTTTTGGTAGAAAGCGTGGCTCTTATCTTCCATTCTAGCATCCCCAGATTGTGACAGCCAAAGAGAAAAGGTTAGGCCTACGTGGCTGCTCACTGTTCCCCTCGCAAAGTAATTGATCGTCATTTAGTTTGCTGCATGGATAGTCTGCATTGTACACAGATACAAGCCAATCTACCCCTATTCAGTAGTCACATGTCCATTGTGAAAGGGCTGTAGAGTGAGTGGAGGAATGAATGTGATTCACACCACCACAAATGATAGAGGCTAAGCATGTGCCGGGACTGCTTAGTGTCCTTCCTCCCTGCACTAGTTAGGCTCTGATTTGAACTATATGTTATATCTCTACATAAGGGATGAGAAGTTTCCAGTAGTAAATTGGCCTGACGACTCACGCTAAATTCTTCCACCGCTCTGTTGTTCGCAACATATTTTCATCTGAGACTGCCATCATTGAAGTCGTCTGTGGTGACGAGGGGCGTGAGGGGTGTTGTACAAAACAAAGTAATCAGCGATTGGATCGTCTCTAACCAATCAGGGTATCAAAGCCAATGAGGAATTTTCTAACCGCCACTTTACCCTTGTGTGTTCTGGCTCTGGCCCAATCCATCGGTTTCTGGACCAATCAGACCTCCCCGAATGTGTTCACATCGGTAAAGGTTCGGGCAGGTACTCAGATCCATACTCACTGCGGAGAAGAAACTAACGTCCGTGGGCATAGCGTAACGTTTGGCCAGAGCCAGTGGTGAATAGCTCACTAGCCTGACATCAGTGGAGGCAGGGAGACATTTAAAAAAAAATAAGATGCGTTGGGAGATGCGTTGACTAGCAATGCGACATGAAGGTTTACTATCTGGCTGACCTATGTCCTCCCATTGCTCTTGCATAGGACACACACCCCTACAAGTGGCCTGGTTGGCACACTAAACTCCTCTTATCTGGAGCCAGTTAGTGGAAGAGCTGACCCAGTGAACCACTGACCCCTCTCTGCTCTTCTCTAGGTGACCTACAAAGCGCCCGAGCCCATGGGGGAACACTTCTTCGCCGAGTCCTTTGACAGGGGGACCCTTGACAGGTGAGCACTCATTGGCTTCCCCTGAGTTTTTTAAATTCAACTTTGAAAACAGTGCTGTTAAAAGCAGGCGCCGTTATATAATTTATTATACAAATGAAGTCTATATCAGAGAAGATATGATATTCAAACATGCTGCCCTGAAACGAAATAGCCTAGGTGTTATAAACTGTGTCTTGTCTCTTCTTTTCATGTGTCACACTGTAGGACCAGCTGCTATTTTGACTTTTTCGAAGGATAAACACGAACCCAGCGCCTACTCCATTCCCCCAGGGGCTGCCCCTATCGTGTCCAGGTGCAACCGTGTTTAGTTGATTCTCAAGTAATCTCGCTTTTCCTGTTTTGTTTCAGCTGGGTCCTTTCAAAGGCCAAGAAGGAGGACATTGACGAGGATATCGCCAAGTATGACGGTAGGCACCAAGACAAGTCCTCGCTGACACATTGGAACATAAAGCATTCTTCTGGGTAGTATTCATTAGGGCACAACTTAGCAAAACATTTTGCAACTAAAATGAAAAATGTGTGTTATTGGACAAGTTGAGGTGGTCCTTCCGTTTCAGTCAATTTTCTTCAGTTTAGTGCCTAATGAATACGACCTAGGTTCGGCTCCGTTCAGGCAGTTATCAAGTGAGTACACTCCTTTACTTATGTATTCGACCTCCATCTTGCAGGTAAATGGGAGGTGGAGGACATGAAGGACGGCAAGCTGCCCGGAGACAAGGGCCTGGTCCTCAAGTCCCGTGCCAAGCACCACGCAATCTCAGCCCAGCTCCTCAGGCCCTTCATCTTCGACACCAAGCCCCTCATCGTCCAGTATGAGGTCAACTTCCAGCAAGGGATCGACTGCGGCGGTGCCTACGTCAAATTGCTCTCCCAGACCCCTGACCTTAACCTGGTAAGAACACGCACACCGTGGTATTTAAGATGGAAAACATCAAATGTAACCGCAGACTTCCTTTGTACGTGCTCCCAAAGGTGTTTATGTATTAAAAACGATGTTTAGACCCGAGCTGTCTTCATCCGTACAAACATATTTCTTACCCAATTCATCTGCATGTAGACTCGCCTCCTTGAGGTTAATGTAGTTATTCTGCCCTTCAGGATGAGTTTGTTGACAAGACTCCCTACACCATCATGTTCGGACCAGACAAGTGTGGCGAGGACTACAAGCTGCACTTCATCTTCCGCCACAAGAACCCCAAGACTGGCGAATATGAGGAGAAGCACGCCAAGAAGCCCGACGCAGACCTGCGCACCTACTACACCGACAAGAAGACCCACCTTTACACACTGGGTAAGACAGTTCAACATGTTCTTCGATGGTCTACTAGACTACACTGACAAGAAGACTCGCCTAGGGAGAGAACATGGTGAACAAGATAGTTTCACATGTTCTATGAATCAGGTATGCTAATGGTTTAGTACATATCCCCCGCTGTAACTGGTGCCTATTCACGTGCAATGTCACATAACGATCAGATAGAAATGTGTTGTGTAGAACACATGATTGTATGCCAGTTAGATTAGGGAATCGTGTTCACTCTACTTGTTACATTTCTGTCATTTCCAGTTTTACTCCTCTAACCATCTCTACCTACCTCTTCTCTTTCTCTCTGCTGCCTCCTAGTGTTGAACCCAGACAACAGCTTTGAGGTGCTGGTGGACCAGACGGTGGTGAACAGTGGTAACCTGCTGACGGACATGACCCCGCCCATCAACCCTGCCGCCGAGATCGAGGACCCCGACGACCACAAGCCAGAGGATTGGGACGAGAGGCCCAAGATCCAGGACTCTGACGCAGTCAAACCCGAGGACTGGTAAGTGTGCACATTTTAAGTGTGGGTGAAAAATGGGCTATTTCGACAGGTTTTCTTACGTGTTGAAGTTACACAGCGTGTGCACGTGCGTTTCAAATGTAGTTGGGGAAAGTATGTCTGTGTGTCACCTGTGGACAGTTGTACCTTTTTTATTTCTGATGCCAGGTGTGCTTATGTGTTGGTGTGTGTACCCTCTGACTCTCTCCCCTGTTCCATAGGGATGAGGATGCGCCGAAACAGATCCCGGATGAGGATGCAGTGAAGCCAGACGGCTGGCTGGACGATGAGTCCGAGTACACCAGCGACCCCGACGCAGTCAAGCCCGAGGACTGGTAACTACGATACCTTTACTCTCCCTTTCCGCTCATCCTACCCCCACTCTACCCCTACTACTATCTCAAACTCTGCTGCCCCTCTCCTCTCTCTCCCCATCTCCCCATCTCCTCTGTCTCTCTCTACCCTCATCTGCCACTCTATTCTTCGCCCCCTCCCTTCCATCTCTCTCTCCTACTCTCTGCCCTTCATCTACCACTCTACTCCCTCCCCTCTGTCTTCTCTGTCCCCTCATGGTGTATCCTTATCTGGTTTAGCCCTCTCATTTCTTGGAAGCGAATTGCTAGTGTTTGCGGCAGCTCCTCCTCTTCACTGTGGAGAGAGCGGGCTTCCTGGTGAGAGGAGCTAATATCACACGGCGCGCTTTGCCTCAGGACAGCCAGGCCTGTTTTTTTGGGCTCTGAAGAGCTCCCCTGTCACTGTCTTTGATGTCTCACTTCTGTGTCTGTGGCGGAAATTAAATTAGGGCACCCAGAGAAGAGCTAGAGGAACGAGACACAGTGGATAAAGGGGATAGATAGAAAAGGAAGAGGGAGGAAAAAGAGATGGTGGAGGGGACGGCTAATGACCCCTTTTTAGAGGTCTTCTTAAATGCTGTTATTTGTCACTTATGCCTTCTCGTTCTGTCAGTTGGATATTTTTTGTGTTCTTTTGCTTTCTCACACCTACAGTAACTTGTAACCGTATATCATCATTTTGTACACTGTATGGCGTCGTCTGTATTGTGATCTGTGATGTTTTCATAACTCTCTGTCTTTTTCTCCAGGGATGAGGATATGGATGGTGAGTGGGAGGCCCCTCAGGTCCCTAACGCCCTCTGTGAGATCGCCCCTGGCTGTGGCGCCTGGCAACGGCCCATGATTGACAACCCCAGCTACAAGGGCAAGTGGAAGGCCCCCATGATCGACAATCCCAACTACCAGGTAACCCTTGACACCTCCCAACCTGTACCATATACCAAAGCATCAGCCACTTTAGGAAAATGTTTCACCCCAGTGCAGTGTGGAGCCTAAATAACATACACACAATGGTTGCACTTGCTCTTTCACATTCTGTGTTTGTATTGTTGAGAGCCTACTTTTTCTTATCTTGCATATGTGACTTTGTGTTCTTTTCTTTCAAAACAATCTCCTTCTACCCTTTTTTACTACTGAGCTCTCGTTGCAGAGAAATCCCAATGTATGTACTTACAAATGGCTCCCCAAAATAATTGTTTATGAATGCAACTCACAGTACTGTGCCCTGTACCCTCAATGTACCTCCCACTCACTGTGCTCTCTATCTCTCCTCCCCTAGGGTGTGTGGAAGCCCAGGAAGGTCGCCAACCCGGCCTTCTTCGAGGACCTCCATCCCTTCAGAATGACCCCCTTCATCGCCGTGGGCCTGGAGCTGTGGTCCATGTCCAGCGACATCTTCTTTGATAACTTCTTCATCACCAACGAGAGGCACACGGCCGATCTCTGGGCCAACGATGGTTGGGGCCTGAAGAAGGCTGCTGAGGGAGCTGCTGAGGTGGGTTTAATAGCACACGGGTACACAGAGAGACGGGTACACAGAGAGACGGGTACACACAGAGGCTTCATGACTAGTTGATAAAACTTCTCAAATTCTTCACACAAAATATACAGACATTTGATGAGGAACGATATGCAGCGCAATCATCTGACATTTCAAGCAGTTCCATGAGATCTCTCCTAATCACACTTCTATCCTAACTATAGAACTTTCAGCTTCTCATTTGCATGGGATTCCTCTTGCATCTATGAAGTTCCCAATGGACAGTTTGTTTTGCAGCAACTAGAACTAAGGGACCTATCCTTGTATCCAGAGACTCAAACCTCTCCAGGGAGAAATGCTGATATTTGTAGCATTGCTGTTTCTACATGATGCAAGCCTCTAGCCTCTAGTCTCTGGGCTAAACAATAGTCAAGTCAGATTAACTAGCGGTGAGATGTTGTCCAACTATACTGAACAAAAATATAAATGCAACTATTTCAACGATTTTACTGAGTTACAGTTCATATAAGGAGATCAGTCAATTGAAATAAATTCATTAGGCCCTAATCTATGGATTTCACATGACTGGGCAGGGGCGCAGCCATTGGCCTTGGAGGGCATAGGCCCACCCACTTGGAGGGCATAGGCCCACCCACTTGGGAGCAAGGCCCACCCACTGGGCCCATTGGCTCAGGCCCAGCCAATCAGAATGTTTTTCCCAACAAAAGGGCTTTATTGCAGACAGAAATACTCCTCAGTTTCATCAGCTGTCCGGGTGGCTGGTCTCAGACAATCCCGCAGGTAAAGAAGCAGGATGTGGAAGTCCTGGCCTGGCGTGGTTACACGTGGTCTGCGGTTGTGAAGTCAGTTGGATGTACTGCCAAATTCTCTAAAATGACGTTGGTAGAAAAATTTACATTCAATTCTCTGGCAACAGCTCTGGTGGACATTTCTGCAGTCAGCGTGCCAACTGCATGCTCCCTCAACTTGAGACATCTGTGGCATTGTGTTGTGAGACAAAACTGCACATTTTAGAGTGGCCTTTTATTGTCCCCAGCACAAGGTGCACCTGTGTAATGATCATGCTGTTTAATCAGCTTCTTGATATCCCACACCTGTCAGGTGGATGGATTATCTTTGCAAAGGAGAAATGCTCACTAACAGGGACGTAAACAAATTTGAGCGAAATAAGCTTTTTGTGCGTATGGAACATGGGACCAACACTTTACATGTTGCGTTTATATTTTTGTTCAGTATACATGCCTAGTATCAGGGGCCGTAGGTATCAATTGTCTCACAGTAGGGATGGGCATTATAGTCGAATATACGGATATCCGAACGGATGTTAGTATTCGATTACTTGAGTGAGTGTTCATTTTTGGAGAAACAAAATTGTGGGCCTATTTGTACAATGCAAAAGCTTTGTCTAAATTAAAATTATCCTTGTGACATTTTTACCTCCAAGGATGTACCATGACTAGGGCCCTATAACGTGGACGGAATAACAGAATGCAGACATTAAAGCGGAATTCAACAATATTCAAAAATATATTGAACATTGGTAGGCAATCAACTAAATGTATTGAAAATGTATACATTTGCCCAAGTTTATCATAAGACATGAAACGAATGCATCAGTGATTCGTATTTCCTGTAACTTTCTGAAGAGGCAATGAGAATTTCCCCAATCTGTGGACACGTTTACCACTTTTTGTAGCCATTAGCGATGATGTTAATGAAAAGTCTTCTGGTAGATGGAAAGGCTTTCCCAAAACCTTCTCAATTAATTAACTACAAAGTAGCCTATGCTTACCTTGCAGAATGATATCATGATTATTTGCATCAATTCAGTGGGTATTGGTTTAGCAAACTACCATAATATGTGCATTACAAAAACACCGCTATACAAAAGCCTCTTTCTAGGTGCACACTGAAATGTAAGGGTATCAACATTTCTCAACATTTTCCCAGACCTCAAAAGTAGTCTCCTGATATGGTTTAAGCATGGTTGTGGACTCTATTCCTTTGTTGTTTTTCTATTTTTTTTAAAAGTGTGATTTTGAGAGTGAAAACCTGAAAAGGCAGGGGGAAACCTGGAAAAGCAAAACGGAGAAACGAATTTAGGAATAAACTACACGGAAACAGGCAAAAAATATAACTGATTTTTCTAGGGCCCTACATGACGTTTGAAATTCTTAATTCAATAAAACGCCAATCTTTTGAATGTAGCTTTTATAACGGTGTGTTGAGCTACAGCTGTGATAGCGTACTGCTGTGTATTTAGTCCTCCAGGCTGGCCTGACATCGGTATGCTATTTTCCCTACTTCAAATAGCAATTACAGATGCTCACCTAACGGCTTTTCCACAACACCTGACACAGATCAATGCAAAACACTCAACAGAAAAACTTTTTGTAACGGGATGAGTTCTGTCATGGTGAAAATCTGAACATCTCTTTCGCTGTTACTGTTAGCCAAACCACCGGAGAAAAGCAGTGTGTCCACAGTGTGTCCGCCATGTGCATTTGCGTCATTCTGATTGGTCGAGAGTCAATAGCAATTTATTTATTTTATTGTTTTTCAACTATCTGGATATTGGAAAAAATGTAATTTATTTGAATAGTAAAATAATTAAACTGCCCATCCCTATCTGAGTAGGATCAGATCCCTCCTGTCCATTTAATCTTATTCATTATAATCTAAAAGGCCAAACTGATCCTAGATTAGCACGCCTATGCTGAGACGGACCGTCCTACCCCCAATCCTAACAGTAACCATTAGGAGTGGATGAGAAAATGTCTCTGTGTTAGTGGTAACTTCTCTGCCTGTGTCTTCTCATGGGGACACCAGACCAGACACACTCCCCACGCCCTTCAGAGGAATGCTGCTGGCTATCCTGGCTCTGTGTTCCGTGTGACTTGTGGAAAACCCTTCCCTGCCCCGCCCCTAAGTGGAAACAGACATACATGTGGTGTTCTAGGGGGAGAGAGAGAGAGAGGCTGAGCAGTAACAGTGGAACAGTCACTGTCACCATGCTCCAGCTGCTCCTCTGTATAATGAGTTAGCTTTAGTTGAAAAGCTTCTTGAGCAGGCCTAGCATGGTGGTTGGTGCATACTTGCACCGCTAGAGTACACTGTTCCATAGAACCGAATTTACAACTGGAACTGTGGCACTATTGAGAAGCAGTAGCCCTGCTTCACACACACACACACACCTACACTGGCTAGCTTGCTGGCGCCGACGAAGATGGCGGCCTCGTGACAAGCTCTTAGGAAACTTTGCGGTATTTTTAATTTTTGATGTATTCGTTTTTACATTATTAGCTCAGAATGTGTTTTGTATCATTACATACAGCCGGGAAAAACTATTTGGATATCAGAGCGGCGGTAACTCACCAGCATTACGACCAGGAATACGACTTTCCCGAAGCAGATTCTTTGTTTGCTCTCCCCAGGGCAACTGAACTGATTCCAGCGGCTGACCCAAAACATTGCCGGCGGAGGAGAGGCACTCGGAGCGGCCTGCTGGTTCGACTTAGGAGGCGCGCACACCACCCACCGCTTCCAAGTATATTACTCGCTAATGTTCAGTCTTTGGATAACAAGATTGACGAGCTCAGGGCAAGGATCTCTTTCCAGAGAGACATCAAGGCCTGTAACATACTTCATGGAAACATGGCTCTCTGGGGATATTCTGTCGAAATCGGTCCAGCCAGATGGGTTCTCAGTGCATCACGCAGACAGAAATAAACATCTCTCCGGGAAGCAGAAGGGCGGAGGTGTGTGTTTCATGATTAACGACTCATGGTGTAATTGTAGTAACATACTGGAACTCAAGTCCTTTTGTTCACCCGACCTAGAATACCTCACAATCAAATGCCGACCGTATTATCTCCCAAGATAATTTTCTTTGGTTATAGTCATGGCCGTGTATATCCCCCCTCAAGCCGATACCACGACGGCCATCAAAGAACTTCACTGGACTTTTTGCAAACTGGAAACCACATATCCTGAGGCGGCATTTATTGTAGGCGGGGATGTTAACAAAGCAAATTTGAGGACTAGGCTGCTGAAGTTCTATCAACATATCGACTGTTGTACTCGAACTTCCGGGGTGGCTACAAGGCCCTCCCCCGCCCTCCTTTCGGCAAATCTGACCACGACTCCATTTTTCTCCTCCCTTCCTATAGGCAGAAACTCAAACAAAGTACCCGTGCTAAGGACTATTCAACGCTGGTCTGATCAAAGGGAATCCACGCTTCAAGATTGTTTTGATCACGCGGACTGGGATATGTTCCGGGTAGCTTGCGAAAATAATTTAGACGAATACACTGAAACGGTGACTGAGTTTATCAGCCACGTCGCCGACACCAACGTCTCGCTTCCAGACAAGCTAAACACCTCCTGCGCCCGCTTTGAGGATAACACAGTGCCACCGACGCGGCCCACTACCAAGGACTGTGGGCTCTCCTTCTCCGTAGCCGACGTGAGTAAGACATTTAAGCATGTTAACCCCCGCAAGGCTGCCGGCCCAGACGGCATCCCTAGCCGCGTCCACAGAACATGCGCAGACCAGCTGGCTGGTGTGTTTACGGACATATTCAATCTCTCCCTATCCCAGTCTGCTGTTCCCACATGCTTCAAGATGGCCACCATTGTTCCTGTACCCAAGAAAGCAAAGGTAACTGAACTAAATGACTATCGCCCCGTAGCACTCACCTCTGTCATCATGAAGTGCTTTGAGAGACTAGTCAAGGATCATATCACCTCTACCTTACCTGTCACCCTAAACCCACTTCAATTTGCTTACCGCCCCAATAGATCCACAGACGATGCAATCGCCATCACACTGCACACTGGCCTATCCCATCTGGACAAGAGGAATACCTATGTAAGAATGCTGTTCATTGACTATAGCTCAGCATTCAACACCATAGTACCCTCCAACCTCATCATTAAGCTCGAGGCCCTGGGTCTGAACCCCGCCCTGTGCAACTGGGTCCTGGACTTCCTGACGGCCGCCCCCAGGTGGTGAAGGTAGGAAACAACAGCTCCACTTCGCTGATCCTCAACACTGGGGCCCCACAAGGGTGCGTGTTCAGCCCCCTCCTGACTCCCTGTTCACCCATGACTGCGTGGCCAAGCACGCCTCCAACTCAATCATCAAGTTTGCAGACGACACAACAGTAGTAGGCTTGATTACCAACAATGACGAGACCGCCTACAGGGACGAGGTGAGGGCTCTGGGAGTGTGGTGCCAGGAAAACAACCTCTCACTCAACGTCAACAAAACAAAGGAGATGATCGTGGACTTCAGGAAACAGCAGAGGGTGCACCCCCCTATCCACATCGACGGGACCGCAGTGGAGAAGGTGGAAAGCTTCAAGTTCCTTGGCGTACACATCACTAACAAACTTAAATGTTCCACCCACGCAGACAGTGTGGTGAAGAAAGCGCAAAAGAGCCTCTTCAAACTCAGGAGGCTGAATAAATTTGTCTTGGCACCTAAAACCCTCACAAACTTTTACAGATGCACAATTGAGAGCATCCTGTCGGGCTGTATCACCGCCTGGTACGGTAACTGCACCGCCCGCAACCGCAGGGCTCTCCAGAGGGTGGTGCGGTCTGCTGAACGCATTACCGGGGGCAAACTACCCGCCCTCCAGGACACCTACAGCACCCGATGTCACAGGAAGGCCAAAAAGATCATCAAGGACATCAACCACCCGAGCCACTGCCTGTTCACCCCGCTATCATCCAGAAGGCGAGGTCAGTACAGGTGCATCAAAGCTGGGACCGAGAGAATGAAAAACAGCTTCTATCTCAAGGCCATCAGACTGTTAAATAGCCATCACTAGCACACTAGAGGCTGCTGCTGCCTATTGAAATCACTGGCCACTTTAAGAAATGGAACACTAGTCACTTTAATAATGTTTACAAATCTTGCATTACTCATCTCATATGTGTATATACTTATTCTATAATATTCTACTATATCTTAGTCCATGCCGCTCTGTCATTGCTTGTCCACATATGTATATATTCTTAAATTCCATTCCTTACTTAGATTTGTGTGTATTGGGTAAATGTTGTGAAATTGTTAGATATTACTTGTTAGATATTACTGCACTGTCGGAGCTAGAAGCACAAGCATTTCACTACACCTGCAATAACATCTGATAAACGCGTGTATGTGACAAATACAATTTGATTTGACACCTTCCACTGAGGTCACCCTATAGGTGGTGGTCTCACTCCTTTGCAGTTGAGGTGTCACACGTGTGTGTGTGGAGCGGTAGAGTTGTGGTGAGTCCAGGGGGGGATGGTGGTGGCTCGTACCCAGGGATTAGCCGAATAGCCGTCAGTTGGCCGCCTCATCAAAATTCCTGCAGCCCGGTACCGATGCTGCCTTTTTTCCTAAAGGTGAATTCCTGGGATGCCTGGCATGTTGGGCTTAATGGCCCTCTCTCTCTACACAGCTAGGCCGCCCATTCCCTCACTCTCGCTTTCTCACAGTTTTGAGCACTCTGCTCATTTTCTGCTCCCCCTCTCTCTCTCCCTCGCTCTCTCATTCTCGCTGTTGCGGTCCAGTTTCCTCTCTCTCTCTGTTGCTCTGTTGCTGTCCAGTTTCCTCTCTCGCCCTCTCTCGTTCTAGCTATTTTCTCTTACTCTCGCACACGTTCTCTCCATCAGAGCAGCACACACACGGCCTTACTAGCTACAGTGCCTGCAGAAAGTATTCACTCCCCTTGACTTTTTCCACATTTTGTTGTGTTACAGTCTGAATTTAAAATTGATAAAATTTAGATTTTTTTTGTCACTCGCCTACACACAATACCCCATAATGTCAAAGTGGAAAGAAGTTTTTTGAATTTATTACAAATTCATTACAAATGAAAAGCTGAAATGTCTTGCGTCAATAAGTATTCAAGCCTAAATAAGGAGTAAAAATGTGCTTAACAACTCACATAATAAGTTGCATGGACTCACTCTGTGTGCAATAATAGTGTATAACATGATTTTTGAATGACTACCCCATCTCTGTACCCCACACATAGTTATCTATAAGGTCCCTCAGTCGACCAGTGAATTTCAAACAGATTCAACCACAATCCAATGCCTCTCAAAGAAGGGCATATATTGGTAGATGAATAATAATATATATATTTTAAAGCAGACACTGAATATCCCTTTGAGCATGGTGTAGTTATTAATTACACTTTGGATGGTGTATACAATTCAATACACCCAGTCACTACAGGCGTCCTTCCTAACTCAGTTGCCGGAGAGGAAGGAAACCACTCCGGGATTTCACAATGAGGCCAATGGTGACTTTTAAAACAGTTACAGAGTTTAATGGCTGTGATAGGAGAAAATTGAGGATGGATCAACAACATTGTAGTTACTCCACAATACTAACCTAATTGACAGTGACAAGAAGGAAGCCTGTACAAAATAAAGATATTCCAAAACATGCATCCTGTTTGGAACAAGGCACTAAAGGAATACTGCAAAAAATGTGGCAAAGCAAATTAAGTCTTTGTCCTGAATACAAAGTGTTATGTTTGGGGCAAATCCAATAAAACACATTACTGACTACCACTCTCCATATTTTCAAGCATAGTGGTGGCTGCATCATGTTATGGGTATGCATGTAACAGTTAAGGACTGGGGAGTTTTTCCAGGATAAAAAAGAAATGGAGTGGTGCTAAGCAAAGGCAAAATCCTAGAGAAAAACCTGGTTGTCTGCTTTTCACCAGACACTGGGAGACTAATTCACCTTTCAGCAGGACAATAACCTAAAACACAAGGCCAAATCTACACTGAAGTTGCTTACCAAGAAGACAGTGAATGTTCCTGAGTGGCCGAGTTACAGTTTTGACCTAAATCTATTTGAAAGTCTATTGCAAGACCTGAAAATTGTTATCTAGAAATGATCATCAACCAATTTGACAGAGCTTGAAGGATTTTGAAAAGAATAATGGGAAAATGTTGCACAATCCAGGTGTGGAAAGCTCTTAAGAGACTTACCCAGAAAGATTCATAGGTGTAATCACTGCCAAAGCTGCTTCTACAAAGTATTGACTAAGGGGTGTGAATACTTATGTAAATTAAATATTTCTGTATTTCATTTTCAATAAATTTGCAAAAATTTCTAAAAACATGTTTTCACTTTGGCATTCAATGTGTGTAGATGTGTAAAACAATATTTAATCCATGTTGAATTCAGGCTTTAACAAAAATGTGGAATAAGTCAAGGGGTATGAATACTTTCTGAAGGCACTGTACATACCACTCACAGTGAACCACGGAGCTCGCTGAGAATTCCACTGCCTAATTTTTTGCTCTACGGATCAGTTGGTTTTACACCGGTAGCGCTGCCGGGGCAGTTGGCTGTCACTATTAATATGGAAATGCTTGTCTCAGATCTGCCATATGCATGTAATTGGGACGCACACCCTCCCGTGCATTGTCACTGCTACGAAACGGTCTCACAGAATAGGCAAGACTTTTGTTAGGACTTACAGTACCAGTCATAAGTTTAGACACACCTACTCATTCAAGGGTTTTTATTTTTATTTATTTTTAGTTTTTTACATTGTAGAAAATAGTGAAGACAAACTATGAAAGAACACATATGGAATCATGTAGTAACCAAAAAAGTGTTAAACAAATGAAAATATATTTGAAAATCTTCAAATAGCCACCCTTTGCCTTGATGTCAGCTTTGCACACTCTTGGCATTCTCTCAACCATCTTCACCTGGAATGCTTTTCCAACGGTCTTGAAGGAGTTCCCACATATGCTGAGCACTTGTTGGCTGCTTTTCCTTCACTCTGCCGTCTAACTCATCCCAAATCATCTCAATTGGGTTGAGGTCGGGGGATTGTGGAGGCCAGGTCATCTGATGCAGCACTCCATCACTCTCCTTATTGGTAAAATAGCCCTTACACAGCCTGGAGGTGTGTTGGGTCATTGTCCTGTTGAAAAACAAATGATAATCCCACTAAGCCCAAACCAGATGGGATGGCGTATCACTGCAGAATGCTGTGGTAGCCGTGCTGGTTAAGTGTGCCTTGAATTCTAAATAAATCACAGACCGTGTCACCAGCAAAGCACCCCCACACCATAACACCACCACCTCCATGCTTTACGGTGGGAACTACACATGCGGAGATAATCCGTTCACCCACACTGCGTCTCACAAAGACACTGCGGTTTGAACCAAAAATCTCAAATTTGGACTCCATAACAAAGGACACATTTCCACCGGTCTAATGTCCGTTGCTCGTGTTTCTTGGCCCAAGCAGGTCTATTCTTCTTATTGGTGTCTTAGTAGTGGTTTCTTTGCAGCAATTTGACCACGAAGGCCTGATTCACACAGTCCCTTCTGAACAGTTGATGTTGAGATGTCTGTTACTTTAAATCTGTGAAACATTTATTTGGGCTGCAATTTCTGAGGCTGGTAACTCTAATGAATTTATCCTCTGCAGCAGCAGTAACTCTGGGTCTTCCATTCCTGTGGCGGTCCTCATGAGAGCCAGTTTAATAATAGCGCTTGATGGTTTTTGCGACTGCACTTGAAGAAACGTTCAAAGTTCTTGAAATGTTCCGTATTGACTGACCTTCATGTCTTAAAGTAATGATGGACTGTCGTTTCTCTTTGCTTATATGAGTTGTTCTTGCCATAAATGGACTTGGTCTTTTACCAAATAGGGCTGTCTTCTGTATACCCTCCCTACCTTGTCACAACACAACTGATTGGCTCAAACGCATTAAGAAGGAAAGAAATTCCATAAATTAACTTTTAACAAGGCACACCTGTTAATTGAAATGCATTCCAGGTGACTACCTCATGAAGCTGGTTGAGAGAATACCAAGAGTGTGCAAAGCTGTCATCAAGGCAAAGGGTGGCTATTTGAAGAATCTCAAATATAAAATATATTTTGATTTAACACTTAATTTTGGTTACTACATGATTCCATATGTGTTCTTTCATAGTTGTGATGTCTTCACTATTATTCTATGATGTAAAACATTGTAAAAATAAAGAAAAATCCTTGAATGAGTAGGTGTGTCCAAACTTTTGACTGGTAGTGTATGTGTTCCGACCATTTCTCAGGGACCCATAAAACTTTGTTATACCAGCAATGTTGTTACAAACAAGTTGTGGTCGATGGTTCCCAGATCCTGACCATTTGCGTTACCGTGTTCTCCCCTCTAGCCCGGGCTTGTGAACCAGATTATGACCGCAGCTGACGAGCGTCCCTGGTTGTGGGTGGTCTACGTGCTGATCGTAGCCGTGCCCCTCGTCCTGATCATCGTCTTCTGCTGCACCGGAAAGGTGAGGACCACACTGTGACCACAGACCATCAAAGGTTGCATCTCAATGGTCTCAAGTGTCCACCCCCCCCCTCACACATTTACCTATGCATGGTTATGGATGACTACTATCATCAGAGATAATGTTTTGATCTGTGTTAATGTGTATCTTTTCTCTCTCCCAACAGAAGAAGGCTCCAGCCGCCGCCGACTACAAGAAGACGGACGAGCCCCAGCCAGACGTGAAGGAGGAGGAAGTGGAGGAGAAGGCTGAGGAAGACCAAGTCAAGGAGGAGAAGAGCCAGCCAGGTAAGAACTCTGTCACCATTTCTCCCCCCCTCCCCTCTCCTCTCCTGATGTAGCATCACAAATATGTCTAGACAGTGTGTGTAATTGACATTTATTTTAGTGTGTGCTGTCGTGCATCACCTGAGGGTATTTCACAATGCAAGAGCAACAAGTTAGCCTTTCTCAGTAAATGCTGACTTTGTTTGTTGGTTTCCATAGCAGCAGCAGAGAAGAAGAGTGATGCAGAAGACAGCCCTGCAGAGAAAGAGGAAGTAAATGAGGAGGAGGAAGAAGAAGAGGAGGAGGAGGAGGAGGAGGAGGAGGAGGAAGAGGAAGAAGTAGTCACTGAAGAGGTACGGGGACAGTAAGGCATGACTTGGTGAGCATGATGTGGTTCGTCGTGACTAGAAATCAGAGCTTACCGCTTGTGTAGAAAAAGAACTGTAACAGCACTTTGTTGACAACTGCTGATGTAAAAGAGCTGTGTTGATTGTATACTTTATCGTTCAGAATGGAGACTATTATGGCTTGTGTGTAACCCAAAGCACCCTCTCCTTTCCGCCCTCTCCAGAAACAAGAAGATGACCTCCTCAGAAGGTCCCCCAGAAACAGGAAATTGAGAAAGGACTGATGTGGCTTTCACAACCCTGGATCTCTGATTAAAACCAACAGCCCTGACCCAGGGTCACTCCCTAACCCCACCCACCCTTCCAGTCTCTTCCCATCTTTCCCCCCTGGGCCCTCCCGATCCTCCACCTCCTGGGGCGATGAAGCCAACCCAACTAGACCACCATCTTTCTTGTCAGGATCAACAGAAAACAATCATGACTGCCTCCCAATATGGACGACGATGATTCCAGTATGGTGGTGATGAAGACTGATGAGTTTTTTTGAACAGTGAAGAAAAAAGAAAGAATAAAAACCGATTTTCCCATACCATTCTGTAACAGTGCAGCAGACACTAACCTAGGGACCCCACCTCACTCAAACCTACACCTCCAACACCCTTTGCTCCCGCTAGTCAGCACCCCATCCATCCATCTCGCAGATCTAGACAGTATTTATCAACCGACGGTTCTGGGCAACACTACAGCTCGTAGGTTTTAGCCATTCTCCCTCTCGATGTCTTCTTGCTTGGTCCAGTTTAACAGTCCCATGCGTTTTGTATGTGTCAGAGGGGTAGATGGACGTAGCATTAACATTTCTGTTGAGGGTCGACAAAGAAAAAAAAACATGGCATTTGGATGTCTTATTGTCTGGTTATAACACCGCAGTTGTGTTTTTGGGGGGTTTCAAGAGACTCATTTTCCCATGATGCACAGGTCTCAACGTTTCATTCCATGTGGCTTCCACCATGTTTTTTAAAGTGTTTTGGTTGTAGGAAGACCCCTCTCGAGTTGTTCCTACTACGATGAAGATGGGAGTGGGGGGGGGGATCCATTTCACATGCTCAATTCCCCACAGAACCATGGGGCGGGCAAAGTTTGAAGCAGAGGAAGAGAGAGTGCCTGGTAAGTGGGTTTCAGTAGGTTAGAATACGCTGCCTTACACAGTCTTAGAGAGCAAGGTTTGCCGAATTAATTTTTTCTGTGAATGTACTGTGACCTTTTTTAATACTATATACATGGCTTTTTATTTTATTTTTGATTCAATTAATGTTTTTGTTTTTTTCTCTGGTCTTGATAGATAATGTAGGGATGTAGTGTACGTGTACAGTAACATGTGTGAGGGAGAAGAGAAAAGAAAAGCTGGTACTCCTATAGATGAATTTTGGTTGCCGGCTGGCTTCTAGGGGAGTCAAGGTTGTCAGACTGGTGACCAGCTCGTGCAGCCTCCTCCCTCATTGGTGGGATGAATCAGTCTCCCGCCTAGCTATTGGTAGATGAATAAGCACATCCTATGACTGCATTTCCTGAGTCAAAAGCAGCAGCAGCAGAATTTAACACATATCTTTCAGAATTGTACTCTTTATGTTTCTCATGACAGTCTGACTCTTTTACAAGAGTCGTAAAGAGTACTCTCAGGGTGTCAAACAAGCTTCCCGCCTTACTACTTTCTCACTGCATGATTCATTGATATCTTAAACTTACCCCATACAACATGAAAAAGGCGCTAAGAAGAAAACATTGAGACTGTTCAGTAGCCGGTACCTATCTGTGGATTACAGTCTTTTTAAGTCCCATATTTCTTACTTACGTTCAGGTGAACCTGTCCACTCTGTTTTTAGAACTTCCTAAAAAACATTGAAAGTCAAAAACCATTAGAGGTTTGCCCCATGTAAAAAGAGTTTGCACTGTTCAAGGTAAGACTCAAACGTAAACATTTACACACACACACACACACACACACTCATATACCAGGTAATTAGCTGTTGCTGTCTATGTTTGCATGGATCCCAGTAAAGTTTTGTGCTCTCAGATTCCTTAGTGGTGTCAGTCAGTCGTGTTTGGAATGCCATTCTTCTCTTTTCCGGCGTTTGTGTGTCATGGTGTCTCTGAGCGACCAAGGTGAATGCGGATTGGTTCTCCCGACAAACTAAGCTGCATGTGATTGGGTGATGAGTGCAGTAGGTTGATTGGTCATTAATCTATGTATCTACTACAGTACATGTTGGAGGGTGGGGGGGAGATGTAAAACTTGCTATGATGTTACTTACAAAACAGAAATAAAAATATATCTGACTAAGAGATTGGAGCTGGGCAATGTTTTTCCTGTATTGGTCTCATGGTTTTGTGTGGCGGGGGGATTGTCATCCCCCTGAAATTGAGATGGCATGTACAGCTTCCGCCTCCAGAGGAAATTGAGGTCTTTCTCTAGAATTTCTAATTATCTTTATTCTTATTGTGGAAATGACCTATGACCTGTGACATAGGTAGGGTATGTGAGGTAGTTAGTTCCCACTGCACTGTAACCTAACCAGCCATTTCTTTCTCTTTGTTTTGTACTTTTGTTTGAAGAAAATGACCCTTTTTGAAAATGTTAAGGACATGCATTTCTCCTTTACTCTTTCTGGCTTCAAAAAATATTTTAAATTTAGTCAAGGTTTTAATTGTGCTTTTCCCCTTTGGTTCTGCCTAGATAAGACTCCTAGACTGAACAGTGCACTGTACTGTGTACCTTACGTACCTCTGACATAAGCTTTCCTGTGTGTGAACTTAGTCTCTGATGGGTCACCGAAATGACTAGGTTTAACCTAAATTAATTCTGTCCACTAGAGATTGAAGAACCTATAAAAGGGAATTTTGGTTGAGATTAAATCTCACATGGGTAAGGATGAATGTTAATTAGTGGTGGCTTTTTAAAAATACTGTGATCACGAATAGCCATTGTGTGAATAGGGACTGCTCCTCTGACCCATGTGTATTGTAAATGCAGTCATCTATGAATGGGGATGCCATTTGTTTCGATGAATAAAAAGGCCTAATGGAAACTCACTGGGAGCCCAAGTCTCATTGCTGCCTGTCACTTGGTACTGTATTTATTCATCGACATTCCACAGAGCATATATTATGCCCAAGGCCCAGGCAGATCAATGGCTGTTTGATGCTGATTTTAGAACAGTATTTTTGCTCACGGTTCATCACATTTCCAATTTGTTGTACTCTTCATTTGCATGTGTGTGATTCATCTAATGAATGAAGAGTGCTCAAGAGACATTCAGAAACATGCTACAACAAAATAATGATTGTGTTCATTCTTGCACGGTGCACTATGCGAGCAATTATCAGTGGTTGGTTCTAAAAATCTCTTTCTTCATGCTGCCTGCAGCATGATCCATTTAGCCTGTGCGCATATGTAACAGACAGTTGGTTGGAGCTAATGACCGTATGTACAGTGCATTTGGAAAGTATTCAGACCCCTTCACCTTTTCCACATTTTGTTACGTTACAGCCTTATTCTAAAATGGATTTAAAAAATAATCTACACACAACACTCCGTAATGACAAAGCAAAAACTGGTTTTTAGAATGTTTTGCTTATTTATTCAAAATAAAAACGTAACATTTACATAAGTATTCAGACCCTTTACTCAGTACTTTGAAGCACCTTTGGCAGCGATTACAGCCTCGAGTCTTCTTGGGTATGACGCTACAAGCTTTGTACACCTGTATTTTGGGAGTTTCTGCCATTCTTCTCTGCTGATCCTCTCAAGCTCTATCAGATTGGATGGGGAGCGTCGCTACACAGCTGTTTTCAGGTCTCCCCAGAGATGTTAGATAGGTTTCAAGTTCGGGCTTTGGCTGGGCCACTCAAGGATATTCAGAGACTTGTCCCGAAGCCACTCCTGCGCTGTCTTGGCTGTGTGCTTAGGGTCGTTGTCCTGTTGGAAGGTGAACCTTCGCCCCAGTCTGAGGTCCAGAGTGCTCTGGAGCAGGTTTTCAGTAAGGATCTCTCTGTACTTTGCTCTGTTCATCTTTCCCTCGATCCTGACTAGTCTCCCAGTCCCTGCCGCTGAAAAACATCCCCACAGGATGATGCTGCCACCACCATGCTTCACTGTAGGGATGGTACCAGGTTTCCTCCAGACGTGACGCTTTGCATTCAGGCCAAATAATTCAATTTTGGTTTCATCAGACCAGAGAATCTTGTTTCTCATGGTCAGAGTCCTTTAGCTGCCTTTTGGCAAACTCCAAGCGGGCTGTAATGTGCCTTTTACTGAGGAGTGGCTTCTGTCTGGCCACTCTACCATAAAGTCCTGATTGGTGGAGTGCTGCAGAGATGGTTGTCCTTCTGGAAGGTTCTCCCATCTCCTCAGGATTTTTGGTCACCTCCCTAACCAAGGCCCTTCTCCCCCGATTGCTCAGTTCGGCCGGGCAGCCAGCTCTAGGAAGAGTCTTGGTGGTTCCAAACTTCTTCCATTTAAGAATGATGGAGGTCACTGTGTTCTTGGGGACCTTCAATGCTGCACAAATGTTTTGGTATCCTTCCCCAGATCTGTGCCTCGACACGATCCTGTCTCAGAGTTCTACGGACAATTCCTTCGACCTCATGGCTTGGTTTTTGCTCTGGTATGCACTGTCAACTGTGGGACCTTATATAGACAGGCGTGTGCCTTTCCAAATCATGTCCAATCAATTTAATTTACCACAGGTGGACTCCAATCAAGTAGCAGAAACATCAAGGATGATCAATGGAAACAGGATGCACCTGAGCTCAATTTCGAGTCTCATAACAAAGGGTCTGAATACTTACGTAAATAAGGTATTTCAGTTTTTTAAATTTATTTTTTATAAATTTGTTCTCTAAAAAACAGTTTTCGCTTTGTCATTATTGGGTATTGTGTGTAGATTGAGGAAATTGTTTAATTTAATCAATTTTATAATAAATAATTATGCCATTTAGCAGACGCTTTTATCCAAAGCGACTTACAGTCATGCGTGCATACATGTTTGTGTATGGGTGGTCCCGGGGATTGAACCCACTACCTTGGCGTTACAAGCGCCATGCTCTACCAGCTGAGCTACAGAGGACCAGAATAAGGCTGTAACGTAACAAAATGTGGAAAAGTCGAGGGGTCTGAATACTTTCCGAATGCACTGTATCTAGCTTACTCGTTTGTGTGTGTGGCTCATAGAAAGTTGTAGAAACATGGGTAACACCTATTGGAATTCCTACACTGATTATGCATGCA